GTACGTCTAACTCTTGTTTCAAAAAAGCAAGGAAAACTTTGTTTCCCATGATATGAACTCTTTAATGCCTACAGTAGCCTAAAGCAACGAATTCACAGTGCTTGTGTGCAGACAGCGTGAGACGAGCAAGAAAGTGAAAGAGGGAGAAAGTATGAGTAAGACAGACAGGCGGGAGGGAAAAGGCCCTGACAGTCTCTCAGCAGTGCTTCCACCGCCCCCAAGCTCACCTGCTGTCCACACACACCAGCACAGGGTCTCTTAGACACCTCAGTAGGGGAGCTGTTTGAAGCTGAATGAAGGCATTTAAACCTTAGAAGTCAAAAGTTTCTGCTTTTGTTTCGCTATACTGTTCAAATGTGATTATGTAATAGCCTGTTAAATCACATAGTAAGTCACAAACGGAGTTATATTTATATTTGATTTACGTTCTGTAACAACAGCTACAACTGTTGAATTTACTACTCATTTTTTTTTGCAACCACAAGAACAACATATTCTTTTTCTATTATGAACAAGTGCGGTATGGATTGAAAGTTTGTGATCCGCACTTCTGACTGAATTTCTCTGCTTGTTTTAAAGAGCTGTGAGTGAGAAATAACTAAGCAAAGTGAACCATTCTTTTATCACCAGCAGTAACTGTGATTTCTAAGGGTTACTCAGCTCATCCTTCTCTTCTCTTTTCTTCTCTTCTCTTCTCTTCTTTTCTCTTCTCATTTTCTCCTCTTCTCATTTTCTCCTCTTCTCATTTTTATTTCTTTTTTTTCTCTCTTCTCACCTTTATTCATTTTCTCTTCTGTTGTTTGGTATTTTCTCCTCCCCTTTCTCTCCTCTATTCTCGTCTTCTCTTTTCCTCTTTCTTCTATTCTTTCTTCTTGTTCTTTTCTTATCTCCTCTCTTTTCGCCTCTATTCCTTTTATCTTCTTTTTTGTCTTCACCTCCCTTCTCTGTTCTCTCCTCTATTCCTGTCTCTTGTTTTCTCCTCTTTACACATCTTTTCTTTTCTTTTGTCTTCTGTTAATCTATCTTAACTTATGTTCTTTCTACTTCTCTTCTTTTTTCTCTTTTCTCCTCTCTTCTTATCTCTTTTTATTGTCTTCTCTCCTATTTTCTCTCCTTTATTCTTGCATTCACTTCTCCTCTTTCCATATCTTTTCACTTCTCTTCTCTTCACTTCTCTTCTCTTCTCTTGTTCTCTCCGTTCTTTTTTCTTTCCACATCTTTTATTTTTTCTTGTTTTCTGTTAAATTATCTTCTTTTCTTGCCACTTCTCTTTTCCACATCTCTTCTTTTTTGTCTTCTATTAAATTATCTTTCTTTCTACTTCTCTCCTCTATTCATTTTCTCTTTGCTGTTTTCTTCCATTCTCCTCTTCTTTTCCCTTTTTTCTTGTCCCTTCTCCTCTTTTAATGCCTCTTCTCTTCTCTTCTCTTCTCTTCTCTTCTCTTCTCTTTCCACATCTCTTATTTTCTCTTGTCTTCTATTAATTTTCTTCTCTTCTCTTCTTTCTTTTCTCTTCTCTTCTCTTCTTTTTCCACATCTCTTATTTTCTCGTCTTCTATTAATTTTCTTCTCTTCTCTTTCCCTTCTTGTTTTTTTTTGTTTTTTTCTCTGTATCCTTTTTCATATTGGAAAGGATCTATATTGCTCCTTATTCCCTCAGTCCTCCCTCTATTGGACCACAGTCCCTGTGTGTCCTCATTGATGATGATAAGAGCAGTTATCAGTGTGATAGTTGGGGTGTAATTTGAGAGGCGAAATGGGTTGATCGGGTATCGACCAGACTTTTGTACACTGAAGGAACAGAGCCAGTCGATAGCGGAGGGCCTATTGGCTGGCCATGTTGTCTGAGTAATGGAGTAGCCTAATTGGTCGCGCTGATGATTGGCAAAGTGAGATGGTGCCCAATGGCAGCTGCAACCCAAAAATGAACTGCGGAGCAATCGGGTTAGTGAACCTGCTTCGACTGCTCAACAACACAATGGACAGAAATCAATAATCCCTGACAAACAGTGTAGAAGCTCTTAATCGGAGAGTCTGAGTGGAAAGATCCTCTCCACAGGAACCGTGTGCAATCCTCTGTGCGAAACAGAGGGCTGCCATATTATTGTCTCCAAATGCTTTTTGTTAAGTAAAGCAATAATGGGCCAAGCACGTCGGCCATAATGCTTGTCAGTTGTCACCATGGAGACTGTTGTTTTTGCCCGCTGTCAGTGGCTGTGTATGTAATGATCGGCTCCATACCCTGCACTAAGGAGCTGTCCTCCCACTCTGTTGGTTCTGGTGTCCCAGTTGAGTGGTCTACTCAACTAAAATATTTTTCAAATAGCCTGAGATTGGCATGGGTAATGCTTGGTTTTATCTGATAACAACCTGAATCCCAGAGGCATGAAAAAATTAGCCCTCGAAGGGGAGAGAAGGAGGTTTTTAGAGGCTCCATTGCTTCAGCAAGAACTTTCTTCTGCTCCGAACAAAAAGGGAAATTAGCGTCACTTGTCAAATGTGAGGTATTCATGCTGTCAGCTCTGGCACAGTGGCTGAGCGCTGCTTGATTGTCTTTTGAGGAGCTGCCTTTTCACTCGTGTTCATCACACAGGAAGCCAAGAGGAGGACGCCGAGCAATTTTATGGAAATCATCAACCGGAGGTGAATCATCGTGCCAATCTCCTGGCTTCCAGCCGGCACTCTTATTACACTTATTTTCTGTCAGAGAAGCTGACACATCATGGCACTTGCCTGCCGAGAGAGAAAAATTGAACTCAAGTGCATGAATGTTGAAAATGTCAGTGTAGTGAGGTCAATTTTTTCCCAGTTTGGACTGTGGTGAGGTATTTCTGCTTACCTTCCTAGACATTATCAACAAATCACTGTACCATTTAAAAGTTCAGAAGTTTATTTTACATAAAATGTATACATTGCAGATTTAAATCTTACGAACTAGTCTCTAAAACATATTTTTAGATGAATACTAAATAATAAACTGTAATTATCTGTTAATGGTCATTTAGATAGCTGTACTAGCTATGAGTAATAAAACAACCTTAAATTACTGCTAAGTAATAGCCTAAACTTAGCCTCACAGCAAGGAGGGCCTGGGTTCAATTCCCCGGCTGGGTAACCAGGGTCTTTTCTGTGTGGAGTATGTTCTCCCCGTCTCTGTGTGGGTTTCCTCCCATGGTTCACAGACATGCAATAAGGCCAATTGGAGACACTAAACTGCCCCTAGGTATGAATATGTCTGCCCTTTGATGGAATGGCGACCTGTCCAGGGTGTTTCCTGCCTTCTGCCCAATGAGTGCTGGGATAGGCTCCAGCACCTGCCGCAACCCCGGAGGATAAGTGGCTTAGAAGATTAATAAATGAATAACCATTACTCTCATAAACGCTTAAATTTATGTAATAGTTATGTCACATGTTAGCCCAAGTTAGGGTATGTGTTGCATACCTGTATATACCTGATGCATACCTGTCAAAGTAAAACATAGTGGGATAATTAAGCCTATGGGTGAACCACAGCTGTTCCGAATTCACCTGAGAACCAATCGTATCACTGTTATATTGTGTAGTGATGGGATGGAAGCTTTTCTGCACTAGTAGGTTATGGCATTATCAGGATGTCTGCTATTTCCACAAGGAACCTCATAGTTATATAAAATAAAATGTTTTGAAACTGCGGAGGTCTGGATCCCGGTGTCCTTGTGCTAGTTACGGCCATGATTAAGGTCTAGACCTGTTATATTTTGTCCAAGAACACCAGCATATCCACTTTTTCTTGCATCAGACTCAAGCACTGAACATAGTGCCTAGCTGCTGTGCCTAGCTGCCATTTAGTTAAGGTTGTGTCGTCATGCACGCATCGTGTGGGTGTTGAGTTGTTTAGTCTAACTCATCTACAGACAGTTCACTCGGTGTTATTGAAAAAAACTCTTGCCATTTAAAAAGTGCACTCTCAGATTGGAATTTCATTATGAAAGTGATTAATCTTCAAACAGATATTTTATTTTGTTTTGATACTAAAAAAAAGTTATTTTAGGGTTTTGTACAGAAGTTTATATTGTGCTGCATCTAAGGCTCAAAAAAGTCCTGTCTGTGTAGCATACTATTATAGAGATCACTTAGGAGCGAGGGGAGCATCATCATTAAAAGTGCTGAAACTGGGGCGGCCTGTCCTCCCCTTGCCCCGCGTGCTCTGGCATCCATACAGCCTAATGTGAGAAGACATTAGTGTGTGTCGTAAGACGTGCCCGAAGCCCCGACGGGGCCGCTGAGGACAAAATGTACATGATAGGTTGGAGCACACTCGAGTTCACTGGCATTCTGCCTAAGCAAGGTGTACTGATTATTCCAGGTGGTTGCAGCCACAGAAGAGGTTCCTTAGCCGTAGGACGGCCTGCTCTCTGTAGGTTAGCAATCATCAGAAGGCTATAGGATTTACCTGATCCAAAACATGAATGTTGCTTTTGTAATTTAGAAAAGGGCTGTCACTATCACTTATATTAATAAGCGAGTAATGTAGTGATTATTTTAATGATGCCAGCTCCCTTTTGGATTTTGTGAAACATTCTTGTTGATTGAGCCAATCAAAATAGTCCAAAATGACTTGCAATAAAATCTTTTTACATTAACTTCTGTTAAAGGTTAAGATTTTTTTTTCTTCTTCTTCTGTGAAGATACCATTTTCAGATACATAATTTGGTCCCCAGAGATGATATATAAAAACACTAATTAGCAAAAACATGTACACACGCATACATTTTGTTTCTTCCTCTAAGAGAAAACAGTAGGAGAACTTCTTTATCATGCAAGTTGCCAACTAATCACTGCAGATTCACTGCTGATTGTTCTTTTTTTAATTGAGTTTAATTGATCAATGTTGACAGTCCTCATTGATTTACTGACAACCATCTGATTCTAAAGCATCTCAGAATTTACTCTTTCTCTCACTCTAATCTTCTTAACTACTTCCTTCTGCGTTTGTTCCCCGGCTTCTTGGGGTGACTCAGGTACGTCCATGCCCTGTATCTGGGGGTGCAGAGCCGATGGCGAGGGGACCATTCCTACTGGCGCATGATGTTTGAAAGTGCGGACATTAGCATGCTAAGGCTTTTGGAAACCTTCCTGAAGAGTGCTCCTCAACTCGTCCTGCAGCTCAGCATCATCGTCCAGACGAGCCAAGTACTCCCTTTACAAGGTCAGTTACTATAACAATACATTTACAAAAGGGGTGTAAAAATCCAATACTGGGTATCGTTATCAGGCCAGTATAAGCAGAAAATGCTTTATCTGTTATCGGAAGGAAAAATAAATGAATCCTAACCAGTGATTTTTTTTGTAAAAAAACTAGCATTACTGAGACAGGAGAAAAAACATACTGAAATATGGTGTCTGTGCGCTGCTGTGTGTCTCCCTGTAAGGCCTGAAATAACCATTAAAAAGTCAGAGATGCTGGGTCGGATTTCACAGGAGTTTTTCAGGCCACACACACAGACTCAAAAATGAGGTCTCTGAGTTTATGACTCAAATGCAAAATCAACATTATACAGATAGGGATATGATGGCACGTCCTTCATCACGTTTTGACTAAGTTCTCTTTGAAGGCTTTTTTAACACGCTTGCAGTCATTAGAGTCATCTGCCCCCAAAAGTCGTCTGAATCACAAACAGTATTACAGAATGTTCACTCAGACCTTGCATGTAATTACAAATTTCCACCAGAGAGGTCTCCGAATCCCAGATTTTAAATAAAAAATATCAGTATTAGTATCAGCAGTTGCTCAAGGTTTTATTATCGGAAAAGAAAAAGCAGTATAAGTGTATTCATTGATCATGAAGTGTGGATCTGAAGATTACAGTTCAACTGCATTTTTGAAATGTTATAATTATAGTTCATTATACTAATATTCAATTAAGTGTGCACTTATGTTTTCAGGCTATTTTCAAAAGTAAAAAAATATTAGTTATTAGTCTTTATATTACACTACAGTGTAATTAGGTGGTGAAATTTGAGATTTTGTGATGCATTGATGCATTGATTATTATAGGGTTCCCAACAACTGTATTCACTGTGAGGAAATGTTTTGCACGATGAAAGGGCAGAAAGCCACAAATTAACTGTAGAAGTGTAGAACTATATTACTATCGCTGATAAATGTGAATAGTAAAATATTGTTTTATCAATATGTGAGGAAAAATACATGTGAAACCTCTTCTTATTGATAACGTGTCAATGAGTGCGATTAATGGCATGCAGGTCTACATTTTTGTTCAGCAGTGCCGGTCACAGATTGCTCAGTCTGTCTGGCTGCATGCTCTTTGGTGTGATTGCTAGATTGTATCTGGTTAGTATTCATTGCCACAGTGGGACTCATTTAGAAACTTAGCCTCACTTAGCATTCATTAATGAACAGATCCGCCATGAGTTACACAGCATGGCACTACGCAGTGGTTCATTTTCAGTCCAACTGCAAATTAGCTGGAGTGAGAAATCAGCAGCTGATTATAGAGCACAGGGTATATGGGTTATATGGCCTCAAGAGTGAGTAGCCTGCTTAATGCTGACCTTTTTGCTGTCTTAAAAGACTAGATAGATGTTCGGTGCCAATACCACATTTCACAGTACTGACAAGGGATCAGGGCATGTAATTAAATGGAATTAAATATAATATAAAAGGGAAAAAACTGTTCTTTGATACACACTTGATCCCGACGTCATGTGCACAAATAATTTCAGATACACCGATTTTTTAGAAATAAGTCATTAGTGTAGCCTGATTAAGAAAATCTTTACACATATATGAGTTTGGTTACAGCTTTTCTGTGTTCAGTAAGAGGGGATTCCAGTAAAGGTTAGAAGTAGAGATGGCATATTGGTATCGCTGGAAATCTGTATCGGGTTGATACCAGCTGAAAATGTAACAAATCTACCCTGAAATAGCATAAATTCACATTTTGTGCTCATGTTGTTAGCTGTGTTCCTTCTTCGTAGATTGTATATAGGATAATAAATGTGTTATTGTTAATTATACAACAGTTAGTTGTACAACACAGTCTGATTGGTTGAGATGTGTTCTACTCATGCTTCTTGTAATTAAAGCTGCATTATCTTTTTTGTCAAAATTGAAAGAAGTAGCTTTTCCGAGTCAGGAGAAAAAAAGAGGTTAAAATATGGCGTGTGCGCTGCTGTGAGTCGCCCTGTTAAGAAAATGCTGGATTGGAAATCACAGGTTAAAAAAAGAATAATTAACAAATAAATAACAAAATAACAAAGCTATCCTGAAACAGCACATTTTGTAATGTCATGTTATTAGCTGTGTATTTCTTCTTCACATATTGTATGCAAGATAATAAATGTATTATTGTTATTGTTAATTATACAGAAGTTAGTTCTGACAACATAATGTGATTGGTTGAGAAGTTTTTGCTGTTAGTTTCACAATAATTCTGTCATTCCACTGAGCACTGGTTGCTAATGCCTCACTTTCCACTGCAGGTAACCATTACTATGTTTCTACTTGACTTTAGCATAAAACAGAAAATGGAGATTTCAGGTAACTTCTGTACGATAATATTTGACCCATTATGTCAGATTCTGAAGTAGAGTGTGACAGCAGGCCTACATAAAATTCCAGCCTGTCGTTGCCCCTAAACAAGCTTTGCAGTCAGCAGGTGGGACGGCAAAATAACCAAATGGAATTAGCAAAAAAAAAATAATGACAGAATACAATTCAGCAAACGAGACAGGAAGTGAAATGCTTTATGGACTGGCTGAAAACAATCTGTAATGCAAAAGGCTACTACTTTTTTGGCAGAAGGAGTTGCTAATATTAAAGCACATTTGAATCAGTACTCAGGCCATTACTTTTTTCTTTATTTTGTAGGACTGTTGTACAAAGCAACAGGACACTCGAGGTCGTGTTTTATCATGAATAACTATGTGTACACCCTGTGGCCAAACCACAGCCATATTATTTGTGATAACACCCTTTTTCATTTCCTATTGCTTAAATAACCCTTTCAAGGATATTTAATTGTGTTCTGTGATGCTAAGATTCCACTCATCCCATATATTAACTAATTAAAACTGTACTATGTGAGGTTTTGTTTATTAAAATTTGTTGAAGTAGCTTTACTGAGTCAGGAGGAAAAATACCAAAACATGGTGTGCATGTGCTGCAAGTCACCCTGTATAGCTTGAAATAGTAATTAAAAAATTAACATTCATTGGAAAGTCATTGGGTCGGATTTTGTTGGAGTTTTTTGGATCACATTATATCCATTTATATATTAACGTCGCACGCACAGACTCAAAAAGAAGGTCCAGCTCCATAGTTTGGGTTTTAAATGCTAAATCAACATTATACTGATGAAGATATGATTACAGTAGTAGATAATTCACGCCTTGGTAGACACACAATTCACCAAGTCTTTGTTTCATCAAGGTTTCTGGGTTCTTGTTGAGTTCTAATTCAGTGCACTTGAAAACATCAGATTCATCTGCTTGGGGAAGGGGTCCAAAGCACAACCCACCCTACAAAATATTCTTCCGCATGTTGAATGTAATTACACATTTTCACCTGAGAGGTCTCCAAATCCCCAAATCTTACAAGGTTTAACTTTAAGGTGAATTAAACTGCTGATGATTCCAATGAAATACTGTGCTGTTTTGCTTTGGCATCAGTCCTGTCATGTTAACCAGCTACACGCTCAGCAGGTGAGTTTGATGTCAAACAGGAAACTGTGAAACAGAGGAATACCCAGAGCTGGAAAGGTCCAGTGTGCAGTCCAATGTCTTTCTTTCTGTTTATATTATTTGGCAAGAAACATAGAGAGTTTATGTATTCATTTGGCATGAATCAGGTTTCGTTCAGCAAAGCATTTAGACATCATGTCCACAAACACATCTCTGTAAGGAAGCTACAAAACATAATTAATGCTTTCAGCTGTCGCCCTGAGATGAGAGCATACATCTTATATTTTAAATTTTGAGTTAGCAGTGCAGCTCTGTTGACGCTTCTTGTACTGTGAAGATTACTCAGTGACATGTTGCACTGAGAATGCAATGAGAGTGATGCTGCACTCAGGGCTAATTCAGAAATTCAAAGCGGTTGAAGGGAGCTGTAGAGTTGACTGATGCTCGTGTCTGGGGCATTCATTAGCAAAGTCCCTTAGTTCTGCTTCTCTTCACCAAATGGGTGAGCTGATGAGCTGCCAGATAGTGATCAAATATTTATGACAGCTCTCCACAGCACTCAAACACAGCCTCTCTTATTTTTCTATGGGTGCATGTGTTTTATACTTAATATTGATTGCTTCCTCTCATTCGATTAAGTGTAGATCATTACTGACACTAACCAGTAGTCACAAGAACAAATCCATATTCTACTGTCCATAGACACAAATTTTTATTTCTGACATTTATTACCCTGCACTGATGTGTGATGGTAAAATGAGTTTTTCCAGATAGTTTCATTGGTTTTCAGTGATCACTGATGCTGCTGCCTCATACTGCCTGTCTATAATGCGTTAATTAAAGAAATATTCCAACATTTTACGTCTAGTCTCCATCTGCCACATCTATAGCAATCACTCGATTACTATGGACAACGATTTTTAAGCACGCGTAATAGAAGCCAATGGCCAGTTACTGAATTCTGCTGGTTTCTGCACAACACATTTTTGTAGGACACTTTCATGTTTTCCAGAGGGAAGAACTTGTGGTAAAACAGTACTGTGGAAAAGTTAAATACTATCAGTCATTTATTACTTTCCACTCAGATGGCCATTAAATATAAGTTATTCATTTTCAGCATCAGAAAAAAAGCAATAAACACATTTATTACACCCTACACCTTACTACACCCTTTATTACAGCTTCCATTCTTTTAAGAAGACTTGCTTTCAGTTTTTGATAGAAATCTTCAATTCAGTCTTAGAAGTTGGTTGCATTTTCTGCTTCTAAGGTAGGGGTCACGTTTTGCCTGTATCTTTTAATCATTTTTTGAACTCTAGGTTTGGAAGCGCCTTCTTTTTTACTTTTTTGTCCTTTGACCTGCCCCTTCCTTATGAAGTGGATTATCTTAAATCTGTTCTCTTCATAAATATCCCCTGAAAAATGAATAACTTGTTCTTAATGGCCATTTTGACTGGAAATTGAATAAATGAATGGTGGTCTCTGACTTTTGCACAGTACTGTATGTTACCAGCTTAGTGTTATGGGATGGGTTTTGAAAGGCTTTGCCTGAAAGGGGAAAAGGAAATGTAAAGGGAAATCTTAAAAAAGGGAAAATAGCTGTTTTTTTTTTACTGTGCCGCTTCAGCATTTGAAAGTTGTTTCTAAGAATGGCTTTGGTAAGACATTCTCTCAAGTCAGTTCCTTCCTAGGACCTGTATTGTTGGACTATTGGCATATATGAATCGTTTCATCAAAAAATTCAGTCACTGCCATTGGAATTATCACTGTTGTCCATGGTAATCGACCAGATTAGGCTGAAAACACTATAATATTTCTTTAAAACACCTCAAACCTCAGTCCTTCCTTATGTCCTGCCCTCTTTGCAGGCCTCTCTGCTTCTGCCTCCTTGGTGTCTCTGGCCTGGATGGTGGCGTCCTACCAGAAGGCTCTGCGGGACTCCCGTGACGACAAGCTGCCAATGTCTTATAAAGCGGTGGTGGTCCAGATGTTGTGGCACCTGTTCACGGTGGGGGCACGCGCCATGGCCTTCGCACTGTTTGTCTCCATCTTCCAGCTTTACTTCGGCATCTTCATCGTGGCTCACTGGTGCGCCATGACCTTCTGGATCATCCAGGGTGAGACAGACTTCTGCATGTCCAAGTGGGAGGAGATCATCTACAACATGATGGTGGGCATTGTGTACGTGTTCTGCTGGTTCAGTGTGCGCGAGGGGCCCACGCGGTGCCGGCTGCTGCTCTATAGCCTCATAGTGCTGGCGGAGAATGTTGCCCTCACCGCAGCTTGGTATCTTTACCGAGGGCCCCGGACCTCCGACTTCTACGCTGTGGTGGTGGTGTGCGTGGTGGCTTGCAGCTACGCCCTGGGCACATTCTTCATGTTTGTGTATTACTGTCTACTGCACCCGGACGGTCCTGTATCGGCTGGCAACTTGGGATGTTGTTTGGAGGAGGCCAGGGCCGTTTCAGAGCCTTGTCCTTCGTCAGCATTCTCCGCCCCTCCTCCAGACGTGGTCAGCAGCCCCCCCAGGACGTTGCAGAGGACTAAAGGAGGAGCAGAGCAGGAAGCAGGAGGGGAGGGCGCTGATGTATTTCAGGTGCGCCCTCCTGCTGGTTTAAGGACCCCCGCACCCCGCCTCACTCCAAAGACAGAGGGGCCGGTCATTCGCATTGACCTGCCTAGGAAGCAGTACCCTGCCTGGGATGCTCACTTCATCGACCGCAGGCTGCGCAAGACCATCTTAGTCCTAGAAGCTGCGTCCCCGGTCACCCCCAGGATCCAGTACCGCTGCCTAGGCACACCGAAGGAGGTGATGGAGTACGAGACGACGGTGTGAACCCACCAGACGCTTTTCTGCAAGTTTGGCCGCCTGCCAAACTCTCGTACTCCAAATGCAAGGTGCAGCCGCGACAGCGTGCGGAGCGAAGCCCTCCTGGCTTAATTTGGCGGAGCTGACGCTGGCCTGTGGCAGGGAGAGAAAAAGAGACAGAACAAGCAGTGCTAGCCAAGTGTCTGAATGGCATGACCTCTTTCTTTGATCCGTTCCATCTGTAGAAGTATCTGTTGTAGTATTCTGAGGGCTCTTTGGTGGTGACACCCACCATTGAATTATCACAGGTTACTGGATCAGAGGAGGAAGTGGTCAGAAGTCAGATTTCAGGTCATTTCGAGCAAGTCCTGCCGATATATGAGAGAAGTAAGGTAACAAAGATAAGAGGATACTACAAGGGATATGGTATATATTGCAATGATGGTGCTTTAAAATGTCTTCATAAAGAAAACCACTTTACTTGGATGTTAATAAGCCCTTATGGCAGCTGTTCTGAACAGCAGTTATTTGCCTGATGCTGAGCTCCAGTTGGTAGTTATATATGGAGTCTGAGATGTCATAGCTTTTAGGTAAGGTTCAGTGTATGAATAGTTTCATTCAAGGCCTTAATCAGCCCATGTAGGAAAGTCATGCAGCATTTAGAAAAAAAGGACCAAAAAAACAAGAAAACAACACAAAAAACAGATTTTTTGTCTCAAGGATAGACCATCCTTATCTGACTGACCCAAGACATTCCTTTGAAATGAAAGTGATTACAAGGGTACTTCTGCTGTCTTTCACAGATGATGTCTAAAAGATAACAGGGCTCAGATGTTTAAATTTCTAGCTGGTCTTTAGTGCATCTGCGATGATACTTCAGTGTATGTTTACATGTTTCTAAGTAATCCTCTTTTTTATGATTAAGAACAAAGTTCACATCATGGTTCCATGGTCATGAAGATTGGATCAACCTGTGCAATAAAAACAGAAATGCTTGGATTGTAAATCTCCAATTTGAAGTGTTTTTGGTCACAAGCATACAGTACTGTGCAAAAGTCTTATGGCATCTGAGAAAATGATATGGAAAGTCCATTTATCTGGGCAGTCAGTGCTTATTTGTTTGAACGATAGTATTGAATACAAACAAATTAACAAAAATCATACAGTTGTGATTTTAAAGCACTGTGCATAAGTTAGAGACCACCCTTCATTTATTTAAGTTCCATTCAAAATAGCCATTAAGTACAAATTCATTTTACAATGTTACCCAAACAGGTATAGTCTCAACCACTAAATATAATATCAGTATTGTGTCCACTCCTGGCTTTATTACATCTTCCATTCTTTCCGAATTGCTTTTGGTTTTTGGTGACAGGTTTGGTGGTCCACCAGGTCGTGCATCAATTTTAGGGGTCCAATTTTCTCTGTATCTTTTAAGATTTTTTTTAAAATCTAGTTTTGGAAAGTCTTGTTTTTTCACTTATTTTCCTTTGACTTTTGCAGGCGCATTGATGTATGTGTAATTACCTCACTAATATCTCCTGAGAAATGGATAACTTGTACTTAATGACTGTTTTGACTGGATATTCAATAAATAAAGGGTGATCTCTGACTTTTCAAAGAAACTCAGTATTTACAGTTATCATCTAATACCTAGTTTAGCTAATCAAAAAGTGAAACACTTTTGAAAACAAGGAAGTCTTGTTACTTTTTAATGCATTTATGTATTCATTGTAATGTTCTATAGTGTTTTTATAAGCATAAACACAATGAGATAAATTGATTTAAACAATAAGCTAATAAGACTTTTGTTACAGTACTGTAATAATACATTTTGCTGTATCATTTCACTTGTTAGATTCATTCCACTCAGTGCCCTGAAATGGATTGTGCAACTCTCCACGTTTGTGGTGCGTAATATTGTGCCTCATTCACCTTCAAATTTTTTCTTAAATTTGTTCTTGAGAAAGGTCCTAAGAAGAAGTCTACATCACATTCATAACATGCTCTTATTTTCCACACTTTTGTCAATCCCAAATAAGATAAGTGGATTTTAAGAAGACATTTCTTCTTAAGAATGGTTGGTGAATGAGGCCCATTGTCCTTTACATGCCACCTCTAAATGGATTGTCTCACACCTCTCTGTGTGACACCAACACACACAATCAACTGAATGACAACTGTATCTCAAGTTCCTTCTGTAAGTACATAAGTAATGTATTCAAGCTCTTTCTTGTAAGGATGAAACAAAGTGAAAAATTTGACGATAAATAATCAAAAGAGATTTAGGAGATCATACATAAAATGCATTTGTGCACAGCAAGGCTGAGGAGCTAGTGGCTAGAAAGGCCACTCATGTCTCTATTTAGCTTAAAAGAAGGTTTCACCAAAAGTTCAAATGTATACAGTTTCCCCCTTTATCCCAAACATCAAACTACCAAGAATTTTTAAAAAGTTAGCTTTTTTAGCTTTTCAGTGGAGCTAGAAGGCTAGTATAATAGAAGTTCACATCATGAGACTTCAAGGCTAATGTAGTTTACTAACATTAGAAGTCAATAGTCATCAAAATCTTTTTCATGAATACACCCCCAAAATTTCTCTAAACCTTCTCAAACTGCATCTAGGCATTGTCTAAGGTTTTGCAGACTTGCCAATGTAGTTTAAAGCACAGGAGACTTTGAGCTATAAAATAAAAAAAAAGACTTCACTGTGTAGCTGAGCGCTGCGGGCAGCATTATAGACAACTAGGGCGTTTTGTCATATTCTGCCTCCCCTTTTGCAGTTTCTGTTGTCTAACTAAATATACAACTTTAATCTTAAGATATATGTTTAAAAATTCAGCTACACTGTTTACTTTTGTTAATTTTTGTAGTTCCCAGTGAGTCATACTGTGTCCTAAACTACATTGACAAATCTGTGTGACTTCATTGAAGAGCTCGATGCAGTTTGAGAGAGTTGAGAGAAGATTTGAGCATGTATTTACCGACAAGATTTAGGAGACTATTGACTTTTAGTGTTCTTTTGCAACATTAGCCTCATAACTTCACTGCTAAACTAAAGAAGAACAATTCAGACACCAAACATGTCTTGGTCGATTGGCTATGTTTGAGGTCCGGGGGAAATCTGTGTACGTTAAGTTATTCGCCAAACCACTCCTTTAAGACTGAAATGTTATTGGGTCAGTGCAGTATTTTGTAGTAATATGGCTTTTGTGGCACTGGAAAAATTGGTGCATCTATAGAAACAGAAACGTACCGTTTCACTTCAGCATTATCTTTACACGCACTGTCTCAGTACTGTGTTACCATGTTGGTGCTAGCTGTAACACCTCAGCACAGCCTACTGTATGCTGTACTAGATCAATCGAGACCATACTGGTACACTGGTTTATGCTGGATTTTACTTCAGACACATTAGCTAGACGTAAAGCCTTACACTGCTCATGTCAGACTGTGACTACTGTACATCAGCCATGTGTGTGTGTTATTTGGAAAATAAAAAACAGTGTGTTTACTGGCCTGACCAAAGCAGCACCCTGGAGAGTGTCTTCTGTTTCCTGATGATGAAGTCAGGGGAAAATTGATCTGAGAAATGCAGTGTGGACTTTCTGCTTCTTTGCAAATGGGTTTTAGTCAGAGGGTTATACTGCACTCGTGTGGAAGTAAACTGCATAGCACCTCATATACCAGACCAGGCAGGCCGAAACAGTAGTGGTCACCACTGTAACTCCCATTTTTGAGATGTGTTTTTCGAAAGAATTCAATATCTGCTGGAGAAAATAGCGTCAGGCAAACTTTATATTTACAGAAAACTACTCATTTTGTCAACTGCACATAAATACATAGACATTCTTTTGTTACTTCTGAGAATGCAAATACAAAAAATGATAGATTCAGAATATGGAACTGTTATAGAGGGTAATGTAATCGTTCAGAGATGGAGGGCAATCTTTATGGGGAATTCCACCAAATTTTTCAAAATTTCTGAATTAATTAGTCCTTGAGATGTAAACAGAGTTATCCAGAATGGTTTGGTGTGAAGTGGTTCATTGCAGGGAAACTTACAGACTGTGATTTCTTTACAGTGGTGGTGATGGGAACCAGGGGTCACAATGTCTACAACACAAATATAGCCTTTTTATTTACGGTCCACACCCACCAGACAACCTACACATGCCTTTTGAGTGTTTACATGTAATGTTGGTGATAAAGTAGTGGTAGATCTGAAAAAATAAGTTTTCTTTCTATTTTCTAAAATAAATGGCTTTAAATACATTTTAAGCCAAACCTTTACAAAACGATCATGAAACAGTGTCACATATCAGGCAGCATATAACTAAGCGCTTCATGTAATAACATCATGTGAGGGAGCTTTTAGAGACTCCTCAGACATCTGGTTCATATCACGACCAATGTAAACGATTCTGACTCAGTAGGTTTCTCTAAAATGGAGCATTTCACTTTAGACCACTCTGACTGTTTACATCTTGACCGTGTAATTATGTGGAATTTTTGAAAAATTTATGGAGTTCCCCTTTAAATAGAACTTATTATGGAATACTGATTGTTTTAATAATAAAAGCATCTGATGTAGTATCTAAACACTGCTAAAGTTTCAATACATACCATTCACTCCAGTCAATATAGTGCAATACAGTATGGAAATTAAGATGCAAAACCAACCAGGTCCTTTAAACTTCATTGCTTTTGTAATATCACCAAAACCCATCCATTTGCATATATCCACCTTCTCAGCCTACAGCAGTTTAGCTCCACCCATGCACATTGAAGTTTTACAGATTGTTTTAGGTTGGTTTTTAAATGAAGCAAAATACAGGGTGGCTAATCAGAACACAGCTCATTTACATACACCAGCCACAATAACTAAAAAGCCTGTTCATTACTAAGAGATGAAGAGAAGTTGGAAAATCGTCAGGCCAAATGAAAACACTGACACCATAAGTGGATCACAAGGGGAGAAAATACAATAAAAATGTAGGACGTGGTATTATGTAGATTTAAATGTGCCAATCCTTTTATATACACAAATGGAAGCCTTCATACATCAGCCACATCAGTGATGAGTATCCATACTTGTATATGGATTTTAGAGCCTTACTTTGCATCACCATCATATGAAAACCTCAAAATTCTTTTTTTTGTTACATTAATGTACATTAAAGTCAAGAATGTTTTTCCTCCTGTGCTTATTAACCCCCCCTCCCTCCTTTTTAGTTGTATGCAAAAGTTTGGAGGCCCAGTTGTTTTATTGTTTTTCAAACTCAAGTTAACACATTCTCTTAAGAGAAGATTTAATGCACAGTTACTGTTTATTTACTGAATTTAACATAATAATAAAAACTGACAAATTGATGCAAGATTCACCAGGCTTCTGGGTCACGTAGGGTGAAGACCCTTGACAGTGGGACAAGATACCCCTTTAAAGATTTTCTTTTTAATGCTATAAAAACAACATCATCTGCTGCTCCAGTTTATTTCCCGTAAGTGTGGTAGGTTTATGCGTCATCATACTGTACATGCTAAAGGGGCATTTTCCTTTATGAGGTTTTATGACAGGCACAAAATACACACTGGTTGCCAGGCATGACCATAATCATGAGGTCCGAGCTATAATTATCTTATCAAAGATAGGTCTCTCAATGTAAATGAGTGTTGTAAAGCTTGTGAATAACAGGATGAGGACAGAGAGAGAGGAAGAGAGATAACCTGATATGACTCACGAATGCACTTTTAGTAATGCATTCTAAAAAAGATGGTTTCTTTAGTAAAGAAAATGGTTCTGTATAGAACCATGAACACTCAAATAACTCTTTGTATGATTAAATGGTTCTTTGTATTGTGAAAGTGTTCTTTAGATCAATGGAGAATATGCTGCAGATGGTTCTCTATGGAACCTTTTTGAAATAGCACCAAAGAGTTTTCTATTGTTATGGTGTCAAGCTTGTAACAATAGAGGAACTGTTTTTGGTGCTATGCAGTACCCTTTTTAAAGAGGTTCCATATAGAACTATCTACAACACATTCTCTATCAATCTGAAGAACACTTTCATGACGTGAAGAGGCATTTAATCATGCAAAGGGATCTTTGACTTTTTATGGTTCTATATAGAAACATTTTCTTTACTAAAGAACCCTTAAAACCCATTCTTTTTAAGAGTGCGTCATACTGGGTTTTCACATCTTTACTTTCACAAGTACCGGTTTCATTGCACTGAAAATGTGAGCAGACAATGAGTGATTTAATTCCTTCCTCATACAGAAATAATGTAGGGAAGGTGTAATAACGATTGTGGCTTCAGGTCCTGATGTTTGTTGAAGTAAAAGAGGGCAACTTGAACTTTGAGGCAACTTTGCCACATGCTGCAACACGGTCAATATTCAAAAAACTGATGCCAAATTCCAACAATAAGCACATTTGGAGTGAAAAGAATGATCAAAGTGGATTATGAAACAGTCTTAATGAGTTTGTAGGCCGTGGGAATGAGTTTACTATTTAGAGAATGATAGCACCATGTTTTACTAATGCTTGTGCGTGGGCAACTTTTCACACATTATGAACATAAAGGCAGTTTATTATGTACATCTATCTTGTATGTACACTCATTATCTGTTTTACACCTACTATTACATAGGAGCACTTAGCAGGCCTACAAGTATCGACTGGAGCCCATCTGTTGCTACAGAATTTAGCAGCCACCCTCTACCCTGTCCATTAAGGAAACAGGACCAACAGATAACCACAGCAGTGATGTCAACATAGCAGAGGCATGAAACTGTGTGTTCTGCTGGTATGAGTGTATCAGGCACAGTAAATACTGCGTACATTTACTGGCTACTTTATTAGAACCTAATTGTATAGTTTTATTATGGCTCATTTTTTCTCTGCATATGTTGTCATCCTCTAGCCTTTCATCAGTGGTCAGTTTCTGACCACAGGACCACTGTTGGCTGAGTATTGGTAAATAGTGGACTGTGCTTAACCCAGCACTGACAGTGAGGCATTGATGGACAGGGTAAAGGGACAGAATTGTTCAGTCAGTAACTGTAAACCTACATGTGCACCTATATGGTAGGTTGTATTGACAAAACAGACAAATGAGTGTACATACAAAGTAGATGTACTTTAAAACCGCTCAGTGAATATGTAGATATTCATGTGCTGCTGTACTATTATAAGGTATTCTGCGATATTCAACACACAGTACTGTTACTCTGGGCTCTTGAAACGCCATCACTGTATATTTAGCTAACAAGCTGGAGTTTTCACTAATGACAGGATGTCCATTAAAAATTAGACAGAAATACCCAAACCATGTCAACAATTTATTGCTATTTGAAAATGATACTCAGAGCACATGTATGTCTGTATTATACATATAGCATATATGTTTTAATACAATGTCATGATAATAAAATGTGGTAAAATGTTAGGTAGATATTGTGATATTAATTTTTTATATCGGCACTCACCTAGCTTAAATAAATCTTGGCATTCTTTTTTTCAGGAGCTGTAATGTTAGCTTATCTTCCACACGCAGACTGTTATATAAACATTTAATGTGATTTGGAGACAAAGAGTATGACTATAAAAGAGGATACGAAAAAGTAATTTCCTGCTTGTGTCGCTGAATGAATTTGGATCACAGCAGCAGCCAGATCAAAAGTCATGATAGCGAGATTTAATGCTGCAGGGTGACCTACTGAACCAACATTGATCTTATTACTCATCAAAGCAGCTAAAGACCTACTGCTTAATTTGAAGGGAAGACAATCTGTTAAGCACTGACATCACTTCTACACAAAACTGTTTACTCGAAAATAAATTAAATTAATGAACTATTCTGGGTTTTTAAAGATATGGCCATTGTGCTCTCTCTCTGTCTCTCTCTCCTTAAAATAAATTTAAAAATATGTGATTGAGCAGATATTTAAATATGGCTGGATGCATGTAGTGTCGATATAATAGTAAAAAAATATTTTCTTTACATTGACTAGATTTATCATCTGCGGCATTTGCAGTTTTATTGTCTAAAAATAAACCCCTGTTCTCGTTTTGTGTTTGAGCTATAATTTCTCTTAACATATTCGTCCCTTCCTTGTTACTATTCATACCATTGTTGCAAATTTAAAGAAACTAGCATCTCCCAGCCAATCAACTTTCGGCGCACGTTAAGTCTTATGAATAATTCAGAGCGCTCGACCAATAAGCTGCCGCCTGGGCGTTGCTAGGCTCTCCCTCCGTCAGCAGAGAGCCACACAGACAGCCACCAAGTCACTCGTAGAATGGCGGCCGCTGCTTGCGGTCCTCACGCTGGCGCCGGCGGCAACACAACGAAGCCAGCACACAAAGAAGTGCGGAAAAGTAAGGATTCGCGCCGGAGACAAGCTGCCCTGTTATTTCTGAACAACATATCTTTAGACGGACGGCCGGTGTGCGCTCTCAGCAATGGAGCAGCCGGCCTCAGAGAGCCCGGGCACCAGAGTGCTGAGGCCGGCGTACCGGCGGCGGCTCCCCCGCTGTCTACAGCGGCAAGCTACGGAGCCTTCAGCCAGCTGTCAGCTCCTGTCAGCGGGGGCACTAACGCTGCCCATTTACCAAGGACTAACACCTACCCCTCGGCCCTGCTCCCCACCACATTAGCCGGGTTCAGTCAGGGGAGCAGCGACGTAGTGTCGGAGTGGGGTAACGTTAAGGTGGATCCTTTGTCGTCTCAGGGATTCCCCCTTTCTCCGACCTCCGGACCACAGAATCCCAGTTTAGTCTCCTGTAAATCGTCCGTCGTGTCCTCCAGCTATAACTCTGCACCTCTGGACCTCCGTCATCGGTGAGTGTTTTTGTTCAAGCCGGCTGTGCTCTCGCTTTTTCCCTGTTAGCGTCGCAAAGGCAGGTGACGGAGCTGGTGTAGTAACGTTAGGCTGTCTTAGAGTTCAAGCCAGAACTCTCAATTGGACTAATTTAAAGAGGAGTAATTCTCATTTGTTGTCCACAGAGACACGATTCGGCGTCAGTTTGACCCATATGTGCCCTTAAACACTAAATTTAACGTCTCAGAGTCGCGATGAAGGAACATTTTTGTCAAATACTGCTTAAACTGTCATGCTTCCTGTCAGATATAGTGTTAGTAATGAATCTGTGCGTTCTAGCTAGCTAGTGTTCTAGCTTAAAAACCAATAAGTACACCGAAGGTTATCTCTTTAGCCTTTGTTTATATAAATGCGCGTATAACAGTGAAAATCTAATCTAAACTTCCGGGTCTTTTACATAGCTTTCATTTTCGTCTTGGGGGATTAAAATGTATATATTAATCACAGTATAAATTACAGTTAATTTTATTATAATTATTATTCTTGATGTATTATTTCTGTTGCTGCTTTTATTTTGTTTTTCTGGAATATTAATTTAATTTATTCATCATTGTTTAAAAGGAGTTCACGTGTACAGGATGTATTGCAAGAGATGATTTCTTGCACCTGGTTAAATCTACTGTTTTAAAAAGTGACCTGCTGATACCAGTGAAAACATACAGTGGCATAACCAACAATGCAGTTACAGCTGTGCTGACAGCAAATACGACCTACGGTATTACAGGCTACGCAGCAGTGGGATATCATTGAATACAGCAGATGATTGACAGTAGCTTTAAGAGAGCTCAGTGCTACAGATCAGGGGCAGGTTCAGTGGTCCACCAGATCTTCAGCAAATCGGTCTTCTGCAAGTTCCAGCCTGGCCTCATGTTACCATCTGTTAATCTCTACTAACTCATTCTATCTGTCTCTGTACTTCATTCATTTAGAAGAGATTATCATGTCTTTATATAAGCTCTGAGATGAACTTGGTGGCCTGGTCTGGTGCTCATGTTACTTCTCAGAATGGATCAGATTCCTCCTCTGTGATGATACTAGCCACACAGAAAAGTGTTCCCGCTATGGCACTAACACTTTCGTTCGTTTGTGAATGTAAGCTGTGTTCTTTAGGTTTTGAAGAAGTCACATGTAAGAGTTATGTTCACGTATGGTAATTTGGCAGATGCTTATATCCAGGGCAGAACAGTAGAAGGCAAAAATGATAAAAGGGTTTACAGAGGAACTGAAAGGATTCCCAGCCTAAAAGACAAGTGTTATTCTCGCTTGATCAAATGAAAGTGTAATTTGGGGCAAAGAAACTTCACAAAATAGTGCACTATTAGGCTTCAGTAAGCAACAGCTTGGTCTCATTTACATTTAACCTATTTACGCCAAAACAGAAAGTAGAAAGTGCACTTCATCACTGTCAGTCTCATATCTCCAAAATGGTAGCTTTACAGGAGGAATAAAAAAAACCTTTGAATAGAAGTTCAAGTGATTTTTGAACCATTTATATTAGTCCATTTATTATGACTGTATAGGTAATGATACACATAGATACGCTACATTGCTTGGAATGTCGTAATTCACAGTTGGCTGAGGAACAGCCTGAAGACATGAGTCATAAGACTACCACATGGGAAGGAGTTTACAGATGAAGCAGTTTGAACCTGAGAGAAGTTTGTTTCCCAGCTGAAGGTCAAGTACCCTAAATCGACATGTTCTTTAGGAAATGAGATGCCAGATGTCCCGAAAAGTAGAGCATCTGGGCTGCTGGGACAGGATGTAGTTCTGGAACATGGTTTGGAGGTAGTAGGGCCTAAACCCTTTGAGACCTGGAAGGCAAATACAGGAGTTTTATATTTGATGCTTGCTGTCACGGGAATCCTATGAAGTGATGTCAGAATTTTGGGAAATATAGACCGTAGAAAACCTTCTTTTTTCAGATTGAATTTTCTTGCCAGCTGCCCTTTATGTGTTGGAAAAAAATCATAGTGAATAAAACAAAAAATCATAGTAAACAGACCACCAGCAGTGATCTTGAAATCAGAGTCATTAGACAGGCTCTTAAATCTAAATTAACCTACCACTGTGGCTCTGGAAGTTGTGTATATATAATGCAAAATACATTTCCATAAATGCAAATATTACATTAGACGTTTTCAGTAATCATGTCCGATTTGGTAAAGTCATGGCTATGTAAAATGAATCAATAGTCCTTCTTTAGTCTTTCTAGCTTCATTGAATATCTTTCTACCTTTCTACCTTACATGGATTATATTTTGAACTTGTTTTAAAATGCCAAAAAAGGCAAAACCGGCATATTAATTATCAGTTATAGTATGGGTCCAGAAATTCCATATTGGTGTATCCCTGTTATAAACAGTTGTTTAAATGTATTTTGGATTTGATGCTTGCTGTCACGGGAATCCTTTAAAATGATCTTGGAATTTTGGGAGATTTAACGGTGGAAAACCTTTTTTTCAGATTTAATTTTCTTGACAGCTGCCCTTTATATGGTGGAAAAAAATCATAGTGTATAGACCACCAACAGTGATCCAGAATTACATTGAATGAAATCTTGTTATATTATGCATTAAACATTAAAATACATGTACATTTTCCTTTTTCTGTAATGTTACTAATGAATACGGTTTCTTAGAACGGCAATTATATGAAGGAAAACCAAACAGATGGCAACAGTCCAGAGTAGAAATGACCAAGGTTTGCTTGAGAAGGCGGATTTCTTGTGAGCGACTGTTTGAGTATGAATTCCAATAAATGTGTTCAGTACTTTAATGCAGAATATTACCATATTCATTCTAATTTGAAAATGAGTCTTTCATGTCTGTGTGTCTGCCTTTACATTTAGGAGGTTCCAGCTGGTAACTTGTTCATGTTTGTGATGATTCATTAATTCACACATCTATTCATTTCCTGTATGATTTTTCTTTGCTGTTTTCTTGTAGAACACGTAACCAGTCAGGGTCTCCAGGGCCGCGGGCCAAGAAGGTGCACTTCATCAAGAACATGAGGCAGTATGACACTCGAGGCAGCAGGTGAGTCAGCATGCGCGAGACCGTGGGAGGTGACCAAATATGAGCAGCATGAGTCTGCTTATGACATACACTCTATTTGAGGCTTTATTTTATTAGGTATGCTGTGTGAAAAAGCTGCATTGTCACGATGAGCAGAGGTATGAGCACAGTTTTGCTATACGGAACTGCAGTTCTGACATGTAGGAACATGCTCTTATCTGTAGGAACATCCTCTGTAGCTGAGCACAACACCTACAGTAGTTCTCTAAAACTTGGGGAGAAATGTGATGTAATGAGTGGTCATAATCAAACGCACATATTTTCTAATCACTCATACACTCGATCAGATTAGGTAGCTTTAGCTATGGCCCTGTTCGCATTTAGTGTTAACATCCATTTTGAGTGATGTGATCATAAGTGGACAGCAAGACAATGGCTGTTTACAAGTGGCATTTTGGTGTGTCTCAAATGCTGCTTAAAGTGTCCGTACACTTTAATGTTCACAACACGAATGTTATGAGGTCATATGTGCCCCTGACCACCTCTAAAGGTGATTTGTATGATTGGATCACAGTGTATCTCAGAGACAAGTTGGACCTGTTCATACCTGTACTTGCTGTACAGCGCTGTCCACTGATCAGATCACCCACATACATTAACGTAAATGCGGCCTATGTGATACATTTATGAAGGCGTTATATAGATGGGGCTGCATGAAATGTTGGCGGCCAATATACAATTCGCTGATAAATGGGAAAATTGTTTCCATGATGCCATGAAAATCAACACATTTACATACATTCACCTATTCAGCCTAAAGCAGTTTAGCCACACCCATTCACATTGAAGTTATAAGCAGCGTTTCAGCCCAGACTGTTATTTGAAGATTGTAGGTTTGATTCCCCATCCAGGCAGGAATGCCACTGTTATACAAATAAGAGACATTAGGCAAAGCCCGTTCACATGCGTTCACCTTCCACTGTGGCTCTGGAAGTTGTATACATAATGCAAAATATAAAAAACGCAAAAACTGCATCAGTTATCGTATCAGCCCAGAGGTTATCAGTGTATCCCTCTTATAAACATTTGATTAAATGTATTTTCTCCAAAGTGATGCAGTGCAGGCTTAGACAGACTCTGTGGACCCTTCTCTAACTTAATAACTGTGACATAAGTAACTGTCTAACCTAAGTTAACTCACTTAGAGCTCTGCCTGCTTGGGGAACTGAAAGGGTGAATTAAGGCAGTCTTGAAAGGAACTCAAAGTAATGTCATCTTCTCAAAATAGAACCCCACACAAACTTACTGTAAGAAATAGAAGCACATTTAAAATATGCAAAAGGACAGCTAATCACTGCGGATTCAAAGAAAAGGTACATTTAAATATTTTTTTTAATTGACTAATTATGACAGTCTTTGATTTTTTCACTCACTGTTCTCTCTTCTCTTACTGATAGCAGGCAAAGACAACAGTATTTCACATATCAGTGTTTTCTGTTGTAATATTTTAATCTAATGTGGTCTGATCCTTTGGTCTAGAGGTTTAACAAAAGAAGCTGGCTAATGGCAAAAGACTGTTTAAAACTCCATTGCCACTAACACTGGACACGTTGCCAAGCATGAACTCCAGCTTTCTCATTCATATCCTCAGCCCCATGACATCAGCAGAGTGTGATGTTTGCCCTTCATCCTCATCCAGTGCAGTCTGTCACTAGCTGCTGACCCGCTGGGTCTGCTATTGTTCATGCCTCTTAGCAACCTGTCAGGGAGGCATTTACCCAACATAGTCTCTGCGCCTTGATTTTGTACAAATGTGATTTAACCTGTTCTCAGTGCTGTAATCTAGCAGTTTGTATTATGAAATGTGCTTTCGTCACAGTCTGCACAGCCAAGACCGATTGCTTAGTTATTTATTTATTTGGGTAAAAAGCTGAGTATTGGTTCTGGGTGAAGATAGTTACGTACACCTTCGGGTGGCCCATTCAAGTAGTTTTTGTGTCTAATGCAAGTTGAAAATTCTTGAATAGAATCATATTGCTTGGCTGAGCCTGCAGCATAAGCCAGATTTCTCACAATGACATAACATCTCACAATAACGTAATTGATATGCAGTGTTTGGCAGAGTGCATGATGTGTTGAACACTTTACTACTGTGGAGAAATGGACTTTAGGAACATGTTTATGTCTGGTAGAGTGCAGTGTGGCAGTGAAGCTGTGGTGGTGTATTGACTGTGGTTGTGCAAGTGTGTGGATACTCTGTGTACTTGTGTGGATATTTTTGTGTTCTGAAAGGGAGTAGATGTCCTCACTGGTTTAAGAAAAACATGTTTTTGTTGCTGTTGTTGTTCCTTTTATTTTTAAACCTCAAATTACCAAATGATTTATAAATATATTTTGCACTAGAATTTTGAGGCTAATGTGGGTAACTAGTACAGGGTGGGCCGATCCAATATTGAGTATCATATTGGAGAGATATTACCGAAAAATGCAAGATCAGTGGTCAAAGGAGTAAAACAAAGCATTGGGTCCGATTTTGTAACAAAGGTCACCTGATAACGGTAACCTTGTGATAACGCCATACAACAAAAGGAGCCTCATGTTAAGGCTACAAGGAATTGCTAGTTGTGGTGGTGCATTTTAACCATTTTCAGATATTACAGGACTGTTAAAATTTTTGTCATGGTCATCTTAATTTTCGTCATAATCAAGTTTTAGGTGCCCACCTTAAGTGTAGTGCTTCAGTTGATAACTCCTTTTAAAGCTTAATACTTTTTAAAAGAAAAAACATTGGATCAGTATCAGCCTGTACTCAGGTTTTCAGTACTGGAAAAGAAAAAAGTGGTGTGCTATCTCTACATGCATGTAATGGATGCTTACATGTTTGCTAAATCAATGCAAAACACATTTAATTTAATTAAGTAAAATGTTGTTTTAGGCACAAGTTTTCTAACCTAAATACATAAAAATATGTGCATTCCAAAAATGAATGTCTGTGAATGGTTGACAGGTTTCTCTCATTGTTTTCTTAGAGGAGTTGTAACACTGCGTTTAACCCATGCTTCAAAATAGTGCTGTTACATTGATTGGTTAAAATAATGTACATAAGAATTCTGTGACTTAAACACACAATGCGGTAAAGAATAAAGAGTTAATTTCATGGTATAAAAGTGGTCTTCAGGGTAGGCCAGTTAGTTATTTGTACGGCAGTTTTTTTGTCAGTAAAAAATGCATGATTGCAACATGCCTACTGCAGGGTAAATCTGGTCTAATACCTGTCTGATTGTTGTCAAAATTTGCAGATAATGTTGCTGTGAGAATATTTAACATGAATAAAAGCACATTCTACTTGAACCTGTTTAACTGCATAAAATATCCCTGTTTTAATTTTCTGCACTAGCACTTGGGGAAGAGTAAGTGCCTTACTCTCCCCTAATTAACAGCAGAGTACAGTTTGCGGCAAGTGTGTGATGACATTGCTCGATGCTAATCGGTAAAAAAAACTTCCATGAATTGTTGGCTTTGTTAGTTTTGTAAGCAAACATTGGACGCTGAACACATCTCGGCTGATCAACCACATTTTTCTTTAGCATTAGAGGGATTCGGTTTATACTAAGATTTAGTTACTTACAAGAATATTAATTCAAACGTTTGTGTTGCTGTATTAAAGAACTGACACTGTCTCCTCTGTGTGCGTGCTGTGTGTGTGTGTGTCCTGCAGGATTGTTCTCATCTGTGCTAAGCGGTCTCTGTGTACTGCTTTCTCTGTACTGCCCTACGGAGAGAGCTTGCACATCAGGTACTGAGCTCCTGCAGACAGCCACAGAACATCTTTCATTACATACCATCAAAACACCCACCAGGGATGGACAAATCAATAGCCCCCTTGGCTAGTTTTAATCCTTTTAATCCTGATCTTATGATATGACAATCTTTGTGGTTTATATAACAAGTGTAGCGTGATTTATCTTAAACTGTAAATTGGAAAAAATAAATAAAAATTTTTTTGACAATTAATTTTTTTTTAGATTACTCACTTCTACTACTCATATAATAAGAGACAGACCTTTTTTCTTCTAGGCTTAGAAAAAGTTACCAAAATTGCTTTTAAAGGTTCTTTGCTAATTTAATTGCTAATGTGATGATGCATTATTTTTCATCTGGCATATTTCCATTTCCAAAAATATTGACAGTTCCTTTAAATGACAGTTCCTTTAGATGCATTCAAAATTTATTTCAGTTGATTAAAATATATAAATATAGCTCTTACAAATAAGATCAGATCTTTTTTTATTCATTGAAATGGAAATTAGATTTTGTGCTCTGGAATAGGTATTGGTTTGTCCACACCTCACACATTGTCCATTGTCAGCCAAATTCTTTGTGTACATAAAGTGCCTTATCTCTCAGAACGCTGTGCCTTCCCAAATACCCACAGGGTTTCTTTCACATTCAGCTTCTCTAGAACAGCTTGTTTACAAGCAGCAGCCTAAGCAGCATGTTGACAAACAAGCAGCCTGAGCGGGTCATCAGCGAGAGATCAGCCTAAACAGCTGGTGCACCAACACGCTCCACGAGTGACTCTTATTTCAGATGAACAGCAGCAGTGCCTTATTTAATTACTCTCTCTATCTCTGCATCTGAACTACAATAGGCAACAACAGTTGACCACAGAGCGTATTATTAAGTAGAGATGACTGATTAGATACCCATCTATTGCAGTGAGTCAAAACTCGAGGCCCAGAGACAGAGGCACCCGTCGGGAGGAGTGGCTGATATGGCTCCTGTGCTGGAAGGTGTGGAACTGGGGGCTTTTGGAAAGGTAAGAGGGGAGTTGGTGATGGATTATGTGGATGTGTTCATATTCCAGGTATGTTATGTTCATAGTAAATCTGGTTTGTCAGCATGTTTCTGTGTTTGCTCTGAGCATGTTGTTCTGGCAGCATGACTATGCAAGTTTCATAAGCTGTACAATAGCATTCAACATTTTATAATCACCTGTCTTATAATAATTAGTTATTTAATAAAGGGGTTGGGGAGGATTTGGCTAAAATATCATATCACGATACTTTGACATGTTCACGATACACATTATTTATCATGATTCATTGCTCAAAAAAATGAAGGGAACTCTTAATCATCATAGTATAACACCAAGTCAGTTAAACTCCAGGGACATCCATCTATCTAAGCATAAGCGCGTGTGTATCAGTTTCACCTACTTTATGCAAATGAAAGTGACAACAGGTGAACTGAAGAGGCAACAGCAAGACCCCCAAAAAACAAACTGTCTCTTTATCCATCCTGACTAATTCTTCTCTAGTTTAGCATTTTGTTTGTGTCCATCTCAATACTTGTAGCATTAAGCGGGACCTGCAGCACATTCAGGTAGTCCAGCTCTTCCAGGATGGCACATCCATACATGCTGTCGCAAGAAGGTTTGCTGTGTCTCCCAGCACACTCTCAAGAGCATGCAGGAGATACCAAGACATGGGTTGTTACATGAGGAGAGCTGGACAGGACTGTAGAAGTGCATCAACCCAGCAGCAGAACCAGTATGTGCTTCTTCGGAACAGGAGGAGAACTGCCAGAGCTGTATGAAATGACCTCCAGCGTGCTACTGGTGTGCATATATATGACCAAACTGTCAGAAACAGACTCCATAAGGGGGGCCTGAGGGCCCAACGTCCTCTAGTGGGACCTGTGCTCACGGCCCAGCACCGTGCAGCTTGATTGGCATTCGCCAGAGAACAACAGAATTGGCAGGTCCGCCACTGGCACCCTGTTCTCTTCACAAATGAGAGCAGGTTCACACTGAGCTTATGTGACAGATGTGAAAGATTCTGGAGACGCCGTGATGAATGTAATGCTGCCTGCAACGTCATCAACACGACCGATATGGCGGTGGGTCATTGATGGCCTAGGGAGGCATATCTTTGGAGGGTCATACAAACCTCTATGTTATAGCCAACAGTACCCTGACTGCTGTTATGTACTGGGATGAGGTCATCAGAGCCACTGACACATCTTATACTGGTGCAGGGGGCCCTGGGCTCCTCCTGGTGCAGGACAGTGCCAGGTGGCCAGAGTATGTAGGCAGTTCCTGGTGGATGAAGGCATTGATGCCATTGACTGGCCCTCACATTCCCCAGCCCTGAATCCAAATGAGAACCTCTGGGACGTCAGTCCACAGACTGTCCAGGAGCTCAGTGATTCCCCTGATCCAGGTCTGGGAGAATATGCCCAAGGACACCATCCACTCTCTGATCAGGGGCATGCCCAAACATTGTTGGGAGTGCATGCAGGCACGTGGGGGTCATACACACTACTGAGTCTTATACTAATGAGTTGCCATGATGAAATTCACACAAGTTGGATCGGCCTGTGATTTTACTTTTTCCCTTTGATTTTTGGTGTGATTTTGAGTCCAGCCCTCAGTGGGTTGATGATTTTGGTTTTCATTGACCATTGTTACATCATTTTGTTCTCAATGAATTACACAATTTACATCAATGACTATTTTCAGCTTGAATCTTTTGTTCATCGAGATCCGATATGTGTTTTGTGCTAACTTAATTTTTTTGAGCAGTGCAATGCATTCATAGTGCCACATTAAAAAAAATGCCATCAAAAACTCTGGGTATGTAATTATTTTTATTCAGCATTTCACATACTGTGCTGCTCTCAACCCAACAGGACTTATGCTCTTTTTATGAAGCATGCAATTGGTTAGTGCTGACCATATCCACAATAAGTTTAGAAAAGCATATTGTTTATCACAATAACAATAAAATATTCAGTCATATTGCCCACTTCTATTCAATAATAACTATTCAGTGATAACTTGTGTAGACTGTAGACACCAAAATGTAAACCAGTGGTTTATTAACAACTTATAGTTGTGACATGTTAGCAAATCTATTTAAATAATAAACTGTAATTATTCTATTTACAGTAATTTTCTGACATGAAATTGCTGTGAATAGCTACTTGAGCAAAGTTGATCACCACTTTTACGATTGAGGCAATATAGATATTCATTTTGTTGTAAGTTCATTCTCAACGCTATACAGCTTTCTGAACTATTATGTAGTCATTGTCAGCTCTATTCATAATCAACCATTTCTTAATTTCTACAGCTTCTTACAAATTGTTTGAAGCCTATAGAATATTATCTTTTTTAATATCAGGTTATGTGTCTGCAACAGAAGTGTTTTTATATTATTAACAGTGATTCCAAAGTTTTTGAATAGTGATTATAGTGACCATATTATAGTGGCTCTTAAACGTGGTGTGAATCTGCATGTCTTAGAGGATTGTTGTTTAAGATGTTGTATTTATGCTCCTGATGTAGGTGTTTGTGTGTGTCTATTACAGACAGTATCATATGCGCGGTTCCTCCTGCCTACCAACGCCCTGGTCAGACAGAAGAGCAATGCACCCTTGGATACAAGCACAGTGCAGACGCCAATGCCTCGGAACTGGATCAATGGGCAGAAGAATTTCACCCCGTCCCGTCTGAGCAGCGCCATCGGACAAGAGTCTGGTGAGTTACTCAGATTTCGAAAGCACACAAACATTATAGCGTTTGTCTGCAGTGCCTTGGACTACAGACGGGACTCAACATGTACCTTAACACTTCAGGTACCTCCACTTAATCGTTCCTGGTATTTGAAGAACAAACATGAGAACTGCATTTTTGGTGGAAGAATTGTCAGTGTTAAAACATATTTGACACAGTTCTCAGGTTTTTTTTTTTGCTTTTGTGTAACTATTGTATAAAATCATTGGTATATGTGTGTTATCGTGATTATTGATGTACTGTATTTGCCTTTTGCTCATACCTTTAACCAAAACACATATATAACACTATATGACACAAAAAATGTTCAAATAGATAAAAAATGTTGGCATCATTTTTTAAGAATGTGTATAGTAGTCTGATATGCAGAGCTATGTTTCATGCACTTAAATCTTAATAGGTGTGGACGAGATGTCGGACTATGACCCTAATTTACTGAATGACCCGCAGTGGCCTTGTGGAAAACACAAGAGGGTCTTAATCTTTGCCTCATACGTGGTAAGTGTATTAAATAATACACGTAATAAGTTCAAATAATGAATAAAGATCACAGGACATTGATCAAGCTTGCTTCAGGTTTTAACTCTGTGTATAACCTCGTCAGCTGTAGGTCATAAGACAATGAAGAGGTAGTCAAAAGGCTAGAGGCACATTATTATGAACCATATTATGTCTCTTAATACACAGCAGTAATCTCACTAGTAATGTAAAGCATTGTAAACCAAGCTATTCACTGACAGAAACTGTCTGTATTTTAGTCCTCCGCTGCCCCTAAAGGCTAAGTTTTGTGCTGCTTAAATTCACTGATAAAATAAAATGCTTTTTTGTCTTTTGCAGACAACTGTTATCGAGTATGTGAAACCATCTGACCTGAAGAAGGACATGAATGAGACATTCAAAGAAAAGTTTCCTCATATAAAGTTGACCCTAAGCAAGATAAGAAGGTATGGTTATTTTGAAGATCATCATTGTGTATCTGTGTAAAAAAAGCTTGTTCATTGTAAATGTATATAGAGTAATAGCAATTGTTAGAGCTACACTGCCATTTAAGGTAAATTAAGTTTGAAATCAATTATTATAATATTTGTTATTCAGTAATAACCAGTGTAGAATGAAACGTTATAAACTACACACCAAAATATAAACTGACGGAAAATCAAACAGTTATGAGGTTAAGTGAAATTATCCATTCATAGTAATTTATCGCAGTCATCCGTTTCTAGGAATTTCTTGCAAGAAAATGACTACAAATATCTTTTTAGATCAATGATATTTGATTAGAGCTGTTTAAATATGAAATATTTGAAATATTCTCAGTTATTACTGAATCATATACAACTCCATTCTCCACTGAAGGTTTTATTTATTATTTTTTTTTACAGCTTCCCACAAATTTTTGAAACCTGTAAAATATGAGCATCTCAGTAATTCATTTTATGCATGTACAGTACTGTACAAATTTCAAAAACCAGAAAATTACAATTAAAAGCCTATTTATCTGTTCATTAAGAGCTTATTTGTTGGAAAAACCATTAATATTACTGTGAATATAGTGGGGAATTTTACAAATCTATGTGATGACTGGGGGCATTGAGGAGACTGCATCTAAACATGATTTATTATTTATTATTATGAATTATTATTTAAGATATCCCCTTTTTAAAAATAATAATGATAATAATAAATTCTTGTTACTTTTTATTGCGTTTTTGTTATGTATAATGATGTGTGGTGTTTTTACAAGCAAAAATACACTTATTACCAAGACATTTTTTCAGTGTCTTTAAACATGTTGTTTAGGTCCCTTTTGCACAGAACTGTATGTGCAGCAAAATCATTTTCATATTATGAAAACTTCATATTATGAAGTTTGAAAGGCAGTGTACATTTAACGGTGCTTAAAATTTCACGTTTGACTTTTTGCTGTCAGTCTGAAGCGAGAGATGTGCGCCGTGAGCGAGGAGTGTGGTCTACAGCCCGTTACCATAGCAATGGCCTATGTGTACTTTGAGAAGCTGGTCCTGCAGGGTCGACTGAACAAGCACAACAGAAAGCTCGTGTCTGCCGTCTGTGTGCTGCTGGCTGCCAAGATCAGCAGTGACCTTAAGAAACAGGAGGTCAAACTGCTGATAGATGTAAGTGGCACTGGTCCAAGTTGAAATACTAAGACAACCAGATAATAGCCCTTTCTGACTGTGTCTTTGACTTTGGTTGTTCCTAGATAGATAGATAGACAGACAGACAGACAGACAGAAATCTACATATACTCTTCTACTTTTTTTGTGGTGTGTAGAGAGGCTGTTAATCTAATTGTGCACATTTTCAAATAATGAATAAAGATCACAGTATTTGTTATGCTTTCTCTGTTTATGACCTCATGACCTGTAGATCATAAGACGGGGAAGCAGTAGGTAAAAGGCTAAGGGCACATTACTATAAACCATCCTGCTGTGACTCATTAAACTGCAGTACTGATCTCAGACAGTGTTATGCATTGTTTATTTAGCTATTTATTTGTTTTGCATGGTAAAACATGACCTTAACATAATTTTCTTACTCTGCTAATTTGCTCTCAAACGGTTCTGCAGTAGTTATTAGAGTGCTGTAGCTTTTTAAATAGATTTAAAAGTAATTAAAAAGATGAAATTGCAAGCAAAGTAATAAGACATTAATCAGCAGCAAATTATTACAATGACAGCCAAGCCATCAATAATTGTCACTTTGACTGAAAAATATTGTTGCTGTATCTCAGGAATTATGATTGCATCAAGGTTCTTGTCTACTAATAGATAACAAGAGAAGCATATAGATGAATATCTATTTCAGTATATGTTTATTATAGCAGTATTGGCAAATAATTGCTTTAAAAAAGCATGTTAATCAGCCAGATGAGTGTGTGAGTGTATTTGACCTGTATTTCAAAAAAATATTTGATTACTTATTTATTGTACTCCAGAGAGCAGAGAGCAGAATGTTGAGGTGATGCTGGGATACTGTACTAAAATAGAGAGAGAGAGAGAGAGTAATAATTTCACCCCCCCCCCCTTTCCCTTTTTCTGTCTCTCACTCTCTGCATGTGTCTATTCCTGAGCAGAAGCTGGAGGAGCGTTTTCGAATAAGTCGGCGGGAGCTAATTCCTCTGGAGTTTCCTGTTCTGGTTGCCTTGGAGATGGCACTCTACCTCCCAGACAGCAAGGTCATGCCGCACTATCGCAGGCTGGTGCAGCAGGTCTAGGACCAAAGAAAGGCCTTCCAGGGCTTCTCCTGAATGCAAAAGAATTGCAGTTAGTCATGGTGTTTGAGGGCTCTGTAGACCTGAGGGCTTTCAGCTGTGTCCAGCAGTCTTATCAGTCATGAGTCCAAAAACAGTCAGTCTTCCATGTTACTTCAACCTTCATAACTGACTAATCGAGTTTTGTTTGCTGTGCTGGTTAGTGTGGAGGCTGATATACTGTGGTAAATCACAATTCTTTAATTATTCACAAATGGTACAGTTTTTATTAACTTATCAAATTTATATTTTTATTGTTTTTTTGTTTTTTTTACTCAACTTTTTAAAGCAATTTTTATTTTTCCTAATGTGCCATGTTATTTATCACTGTAACTGTATATTTATATCATACAAATTCTTGCTGCAGGCATTGTGTGTGAAGACTGACTGTATGTTTCCATAACTGGAGGTGGCATAACTCTTGTTCCTTGCTGTGAGGAATACATGGCATTCTGAAAGCTATCCAACACAACACTCTATGTTAGAGATGACATTTATCAGGCACGTTATTTGTGCCATTATGCTCTCATTTCCGTGCACACTCCAGTTGTCTTTTTTTTTTCTTCAGCTCTCTATTTCCACAGACTGTAGATTGTGATTGTACAGTGAAATGTTATGAGGAGCCAAACCAGTGTATGTATTTTGTAATAATATTTTATATGTTCTTAAAATTAAAGGTGCCAAAAGAGTTTCTTTTGCATGATGCCACAGAATTTTTGGTTCCATAAATGACCTTTCAATGGACGGTTCTTCATCAAACACAACTGAAATGGTTCTACTCAGGCATTGCTCAAAAGAACCCTTTTTAGCACCTTTTTTAAGTGTAATTTTACCAGTTTTTCCATCGTTTATGTGTAATTCAGTCAGTTTATCATTATTCAGAGTGGTTTAATGTGAAGTGGTTCATTACAGAGAAACTTAGTAACTGGATTGACCTAGAGGTTGTGACGTCTTCAACACACTGTTTTACTTGCTGTATGAAATGACCAGTGAACCTACTCATTTTCTGAGTTTTTATATGTAATGTTTATAATGGTAAAATAGCTGTAAATCTAAAACACTGTTTTCTTTGGATAATATTTTGCCTTACAACACCCAGTGTGTACCTTTCTGCCATTAATGGATTGAAAACATGTAAAACTCAAAACTATGTAAAATAAGATCTCTGGCAGCAGGCAACATATTCGTAGCCATTTCATGCAATCACTTACTGTGAGGGAACTTTTAGAGGCATTAAACTCTGCCGAAGTTTGCTTCCTATCACCACCACTGTGAACAATTCTGACTCAGTAAGTTTCTTTAAAACAGTTTCACATCAAACCACTCTGACTTTGGTAACATCATAACTTTAATTATGCAGACACTTTGAAAAATCAGTGAAATTGCCCTTTTAAAGAGTGCCGAGTGCCAATTCAGTCAGGTTAGCAATGGCAACTATTCGGTTGTGCTGAGATGATTAATGCTTATTATTTTATATGACTGTGTTGCTCAGAGGCATCTTATTTGGGATGGAAACTTGCAGTATTTATTTCTCCATAGCTATGAGAATTGCATGAAATGTTTTGTGGACGATTCTGTGTCCTGTGTTTATGTACGCACCACTGAGTAATAGGGGCCGAGTGGTTAGTCCAAACACTGGATGGCAAAAAAATAGGCTTATATTTGCTATACTGTGGTTTGTTCAGAAAAGGAGGGAAACTTCCCTTCTGTGAACCGGTCTCTGTTGTATTGTGGTGTGCAGAGTGCAATGCTACATGTATGTGTTTTGGCTGTTTACTGTACTGTAAGCCGTGCACTGGCTTGCTTGTTTCTGTTTGGACCTTCAGATGATATCGTTCCTTAGCTTAGAAGGTAATTCCACCAACATTTCAAAGGTTCTTTGGTATTCAATCTTTGAGATGTAAACAAAGTCATATGTAGTGATTTGATGTGAAACATTGTAGAGAAACATACTGATTCAGAATTCTTTATAGTGGTGCTGATAGGAACCAGGGCTCATGATGTTAATAATGAAAATATAGCCATTTATTTGCTATACAAAAGTAGCAGTAATAATAATAAGAATCAGTGGGAAGTCCCCTTTGTTTGGGTGCTTTTCACAACCTTTCAGTGTCCTACATGCATCTCTCCACCGTTAAAGTATTTTAATGTTTTAGCCAAAAATTTTATCTCAAAACTGTGATAAAACATTGTCTCAAGCATCAGGTAGTGTTTTCATAATCATTTCATTTTTAAACATTCTGTGAGGAAGGGTTTAGAGGCATTACACTCTTCAGACGTCTGGTTCCTATCACCACCTATTCTTTAGAACAGCACATTTCACATCAAACCACTCGGAAAGACATTCTAACTAATTATCCTTAAAATTTGAAATAGCGGTGGAATTCCCCTTTATCAGCACCAAGGTAGCTCAGTGTGTAGCACAGCCCTGTGTATGACTGGTATAATTTTCTTTTTATATGCATTCAGCAGTGAACCAAGATTCATCAGAGAATATGAACTTGCATAAATTTATATTGTCTTTTAGTATTTTAAGGTACGCAGCCACCCTCTAGTGGTGAAGATAGCATGAACTGACTGTGATGTCCTCTTTTTTTTCCCCTCAGGGAGCGTGACTGATGTTGTGAGCACTCTTTATGAAACTTTGTATGCTCTTCCAGCTGAAAGAAACTCCATTTGTAGTAGAGTTGTTTAAAAAATAGCTATTTATTTTCAATATAAATCCTCAGAGTACACACTGTGAGTACTGCAGCATGAAGTGCCTTTTTATTACATTGTTAAGTTTGCTGCCATGCCATGAGTCTTTACTTCAGTGTATACAGGCTCTGCCCATCATCACCACACCAGCTTTGGAAATGATCACTTTCCAGAACTTCTCGGACAGTTCCATCATACATCACAACTGCTGGCTTGTTCATGGCGAGCTAGGGTGTGTCTGAGATTGTGAGACGAAGGACAATGAGAAACAATGAGGACAATGAGAAATCACTGAACTACTCTTCTTGTGAACATATCACTATTTTGTGTATGAAGGCTTCTTCATTTGGTACAACTTGAAGTGGTAGTTTAGTCTCAGACAATGACGTTATGTTTTTGTGCTGTATGGATGTGAAGTCTTGTAACGTTTCTTTCTGATAAAAAAAAGATTCTTTAAAAATATATTTTTTAACTGTTGAACGGTGCAAACTCATTATTATTACTCCTGCTATAATTCTAGTGTTCTTATTGTGTATATGTACACATACAGCAGCCATAACATCAAAACCACCTCCTGTTATCTACACTCCATTTTATCAGCTCCACTTACAGTGTAGGTGCACGTAGTTCTACAATTACAGACTGCAGTCTGTTTATTTATTTACTTTTACCCTGTTCTTCAATGGTCAGGACCACCACAGAACAGGTATTGTTTGGGTGGTGGATCATTCTCAGCACATGTAAGTGCTGCTGGAGTTTTTAACACTGTCCACTTACTGTCCACTCTTAACTACAGAGACAATAGCTCATTTGTAGCTGCACAGTTTGTGTTGGTCATCCTCTTGTCCAGGGATGTCCAATCTTATCCACAAAGGGCTGGTGTGGCTGCAAGTTTTCATTCCACTTGTTTCATCAATTGCTCAGCCATCAAACAACTGATCATGTGCAGTCCTGCTTTGCTGGAATGAAAACCTGCAGGCCCACCAACTGGACATCCCTGCTCTGGTCCTTCATCAGTGGTCAAAAGACACTGCCCACAAGACACTGTTGGCTGGATATTTTTAGTTGGTGGGCGATTCTTAGTGCAGCGTGAGCACTGAGGTGTTTGAAAACTTAAGCACCACCACTGTCTGATCCACTCGTACCAGCACAACACACACTAACATCGCAGCAGTGTCACTTCAGTGCTGAGAATAATCCATGACCCAAATAATACCTGCTTTGTGGTGGTCCTGTGGGGGTCCTGACCACCAAACAGGGTGAAAGAGGGCTAACAAAGTATGCAGAAAAACATGGACTACAAAGTGCACCTATATGGTAAGTGGAGCTGATAAAATGGACAAAGAGTGTAGGAGCAAGGACGCTTAATGTTATGGCTGATTGGTGTATACTGAGCATAACAGCATTGAATCTGGCTCAGCCAATCAGATTTTAGAGCTAGAACTGTCTGTTTTATAATACCAAGCAGTCCAAATTAAACAAGGCACATGTGCTCAGGAGGTATGAAGATACACTATAAAACAAGAGGTGTTTTTTTCTAAAATAAAAACCTTAAAATAAAAGGAACCGTTTTTTTGTTCTCTTATTTGAAAGATTTTACTGTTTGTACTTTGCACTTTTGTGTTAATTTGACACGTTTAATAAATAAATCTTCAGTAATGTTCAGCAATGAACTGAAACATGGCCCAAAAAAACAAACCAAACTCCCCCACAGGCTTCATAAAAAACTCGTGTGAATTGTGATGTGGGTGTGGACACTATTTCTAAATGTATACCTTTGAGAGTAGGAAGCTCATGACTGCTGCCACCTCCAGCTCAAAGAGAACCAGGAATAGGTGGACTATTCAGGTACTCATTCGCTTTCATGTTCTATTTTGGGCTCCTAAATGTGAGGTAAGATTCACCCAGATTACACTTTTTTTTACCTCACAAACAAAATCCTGGAGGCCCACTGCTCTGCACATATCAGTGCTTTTCCTGTTGATGAGCTGATTAGTTGGATCAGGAGCAGGAACAAAACACTAAAAAGTGCATGCCAGTGGGCCTCCAGGACCAGATCTGAAATCTGCACCTCAGGGCCAGATTTCAGGAATTCAGCCTGGTGTTTAATTCAGTAATTTCTTGCCATTTTGTAATTCCAGTATACACAGTACTTGGGAATGACAAATACTGCTAAGGAAAAGGGGTGGTGCTTTAAATCAACTGGTCAATCAGCCTTGCTGTCATTGCTCTGGTTGTTCATTCATGTAGTTTGAAAGCTGTGTGAATGACAAAACTGCAATTTATATAGGATTTGCTCCCCTTGTACATTTTTTCAAATGATGTTTAATCGTCTTTTCATCACATGTATGTCTGTAATGCTTAGTGGTTGTTAAACAACATCAAATATACCTTATCTGCATGTACGTTTAATTGAACAACAAAAGCTTGTTAACATGTGAACAATCTCAAAAACAAACAAATAATGAAAGCAATCCCTATATGAGTCCAGAGAAGCCTGGCTCTGGCCCTGGAGGGGCGAATTCCAGTCATTTTTGGGATTCCTCTCCTCTAACGCACCTGATTCAACACATCAGTTAATGACCAGGTTTAGGAGGCATGTGTGAGCAGGGAAATCCCCAACCTGTGCGCCCCTCCGGGATCAGCGTCACACATCCGTGATTAGTTTCTCAGTTGTTTCCCAGGTGATCTCCCCCCACATAAATAAAACAGATGTACACACTGGAATTCAGTTTCTTTAATTGTAGCTATCTTATATATAATATTGCTAATTCATGAATGACCAGTTTTACATCAGGTTAGACAGCTTAAGTGTATCACGGCTGACAATTTACGTGATCTATACAAAAATAGTAAAAAGTTACCAATAAGTGAAACTACATAAAGCCTACGTAGCCTATATGGCATGTCCAGGTTCTGTCACATGACAAATGTTAATCACCAATAACAAATACTCATTCACTCATTCTCACACACAAACATACAAATGGCAAACTGTAATAATGACAGACTCCCACTTTCTTCACGTCATATATACGTTTGCTTTACATAGCTTCACTTTGTAGGACCTGCTCAGGTCCACCTTAACATTAACTTGTGAGTATTACAGCAATAATGACAGATGGAAACAAAATTTGTGACAAAAATGGGAATTTCACATTATTTCAGTGGCTTCAAGCTGGCTATCTGCAGAGAAAGAAAAGTAACATTTCTTTCAGAGGTACAACTCTGCCATTTGAAGTACAGGAAAGTACAATAATAAGTGATGGAGTATGACTAGATCATGTTTAAACATGCCAGAATATATTTAATAAATCGACTACTTTTCTCAGATTAAGCAAGATATGGGATGTCTATTAAGATTTAAATACACTAGTGTAGTTACATGGAACGTATATGACACTTGTATGCTACTTGTTCTAGACATGTGCTCCCTCTAATTTCACATCTGGCAACCATGTTACTGTTCTAGTCACATACAGTTGACCCCAAGCAGCCCAGACATCAGCCAAGAGTCCAGGCCAAAATGTAGCACACAAGGTGCTGTGCAAAAACAGCCAACAAAAACCTTTCAAAACCGAAGAACCCAGTGAGGTTCAGTCTTCTCTGCAAAGGTCCAGTGCAAAGCACTCAGGCAACATACTGACATCAACCACTACTTTAAACTGCATTTTTCTTAAAATTTAGTTTTTCCTCTGAGGTCCCCTTGTGAGCTGTAGGTGGGGTTATATCTCAAAAATAGCTGTAATTCATTTTTACATTGGCACTTTCCAACCTCGCTTAGAATTGAACAGGTTGTTTTTGTTACTGTACATTTCAGACTGATATATGTAAACAACCTCTGACTGGCTGCCTCTTTTAAAAAGCAGGCTGGCTGAAACACTCTTTATAACTTCAGCATGAATGGGTGGGGCCAAACTGCTGTAAGCTGAATTGGCAGATAAATGTAAATGTATTGGTTTTGGTGACATCACTAAAACAAATTCAAAATGGGCTGTTTTTACTTTACCACTGTTTGCGATACTACATTTAATATTTCAGAAATTGCATGAAAAATTCAGCTTTCCATGATTTGGGTTCTTCAATTACATGGTTTGATGTTAGCTGGGCAGAACAAAAGCACCAGTCCTTTGTGGACAAGGCTGAACTCCACTGGAATAGTTCAACATGTTTGACACAGTTGCATAAGGCCAACAAAAGTATTTTACATGAGAAGGAACATTCGTTGACAGAAATCTCCCAAAGATACAGTTGACAGACATTCTGATGGATGTTTGCATAGATATTTTTATTTAGGTGTGTTGACTATATGTCCAAAAGTATCCAGACACCTTTTCTAGTTAGTGAATTAAGCTACTTCATGGCATATCCATTGCTGATGAAGGTGTACAGCTTGTATAATCTCCATAGAAAAACACTGCCAAGAGAATGGGACACTCTGGAGCAGCAACACGAGTCTAATCATGCCCTACGCCAAGCATAGACTACATGGGTTTAAAGCCCCCCCACCTCTGGGCTGTGGAGCAGTGAAACTGTGTTCTCTGGTGATAGAGGTTCATCCAATACCTTTGGGATGAGTTGGAGTTGTGTTTGAGATCCAGAGCTAATTATCCAACATCAGTACCTGACCTCAGTAATGCTCATGTTTCAATGCAATGAAATCCTCACAGCATGTTCCAATATCTGGTGTAAAACCTTCATAGTAGAGTACAGGCTGTTACTGCAGCAAAGAGGGGACAAAACTTTATATTAATACCCTCAATTTCAGAAGAAACATGAGAGGAGCAGGTGTCTACAAACTTTTAGACATATAGTCTGTGTGTGAACGTGTTTGACAGAATGGGAAAGAAACAGAAACACAGCATTTGAGTTTTCAAGTTAAAAATAGCTTTAACTTTCAAAATCCTTTGAGATTATCTCATCAAATAGTCCTCTTGGTAGTGCATCGTCTTTTTTTTACCTTCTTTATGAATCTTTCAGGATGAACAAAAATATTTCAGCAAGAAAACATTTAGGTTTAGGTTCTATTTAGGGAGTAGTAGAGTATTTCATGTGCATAAGTTGTATGCGTGTTAAGGTGACATTCATTAGCCACAAGTGCTGAAAATGTTAAGATATTAGCACCCATCTCCATTGAATGAAGCCTGTTTGTGCGCAACTGTTGCAACGCATACTTGCAGTCCTGATGAGTTCTATGGCTTTAGTTTCTACAAGGAAAGAGTCACTTTGGCAACCATAATTAACTCAAAACATCCATGTAAGGTTAAAATAGACTTCTTTGCTGTTAATAAGGTTTGTTAATTAGCTTTCATACCTTTAAAAACTCTTTGTTTACAAAGTAAACATTGTCATAAGCAGCTCTCATATTTATCTAGTCAGAAAAATCAAAACGTCTGCAACATTGCTGAGCATGCATGTGAGGAATGAGCATACAGCCTTGAGTAAAGTCCTCTACATAAATGGAGACAAATAAAGGTGGCACGGAAGAGCCCACTGGGCTTATCACTGTGTCAGGGTTGGTCTGGAGACACTAGCCGCTCATCTACTGAAGGTAACAGACCAAGTTTAATGCAATAATTATTCAGTGGATGTCCCACAGTCATCATAGAAGTCACATTTCTGGATAAGGTACTTAACGTCATAGAAATGATAAAATTTGTTGCATCAGTCTGAGCATAAATATCTAAAAGAGCCTCTCATAACATGCTTAGTCAGCGACGGGTTCAATAATCACAATATGCTCTATCCTCGTTAATGCCATCACTAACAACTTGTACCCATAAAACACCTGAGTATTACTAGCATGATATATAATGGGCGGAGGAGGGTAACAATAACCATTCGTATACTGAAGTTTACACTGAACTTTTTACCATAAATCTATCTTGCATGAAAAAAAATGAAAATCATTATAAAGGCATATAAGGCATTTCCTACCTTTCAAAAAATAAATAAATTCAGTCATAATAAGTGCAGTGTCGGATTCCAGTATAAAGATTCGGTTTTAGGGGAGCGGAGGCTCGGTTTTTCAGTCCAGTAAACCATTCTTTTCTCACATTTTGATGGAGAATAAAAAATAATAATAAAACAACAAATAGAGAAATAAGCTTATTGTTGCAAGACAATGATATGGGCTGGGGACCAGAGGTATATCAAAAACCTTTGCCCTCTTCCCAGTCAATCAGTAGATGTCAGGGAGGTCAGAGTACTTCCTGTCAAAGTATCCACCCGTGTAGACCCAGTCTGAGGTTCCTGTGTAAGGGTTCACTCCTTGATGGAACCATCTGGAAAAGTGGAAGGCCAAAATGTTACATGGGTGCAACTGTTCCAAGCAGCTCCAAACACATATAGACAGAGTAATTATGAATTAGGCTTCACCTGGTGGACCAGTCCTCCCCATCTTTAGTCCCGTTCTCTACGCGCAGCTCTCTGCTTCTCCTCCAGCCTCTCCTTCTCTTGACTTGCAGTGTCTAAAACATATGAAGAGCTACATAAGTTTGAAGGTCAAAAGCTGTGTAAATTCAGGCACTGTATGGTTTGCCCTGCTTTGGGGGGGACACTCTTGGGATTAAGAAGCCAGGAAACATGTATGTATGCATGCATTATCATCATCATCATCATCATCATCATCATCAGTAGTAGCAGTATTCTCCAGTTGCATTCCTCTTATATAAGCAATACGTCAAGACATTTTCATGACACACAATATGCATCACAATGTTTCAAGAACCTGTAGTGCCACATATAAAAATACCATAATAATAGTAGTATAAAATAATTAAATTACTAAATAAATTATTTTAATTCAGTGTTTTACAAACTGCATTGCACTTGATCCAATTAAAGTGGCCTAACTGTGCTAACTTTGTAATAAAACATGTAGTCAGCATCCTCTAAGTACTGATGATATCCACAATATGCTCAGAAAAGTGTACTGTACATAATTTATCAAGGTAACAATAAAATATCATCATATTGCTCACCCTTTTATCTAAGCTCAGACCTAACATGAAGTTCAACTTCCTGTCTATTTATAATAAGGATAAGTAGATCAACAGTATCTAATAGAGTAATAGTTGCTGAAACATTCTTTAGATTTTGTCATTAAAAATGTCATCATTTTAGCCTTATAGGTCAGGCTGCCAAAAAACTCCTTGCAACTGCCAACACTGTAAGAACCAGCTTCCCATGCCGGTGGTATAAATGTAGATCTTTTTACCTATGTCTCCATTTTCCATAGCTCTTATGTCTGGTCGCAGACGACAATCTGTAGGTGCTAGGACTCCTTCCATGCCAGGCTCCAGCTCATTCAGTGTCATTGCAAAGCTGGTGAAATTATACATCTGAACACAGAGGACAGAACATAGACAGAAGTATGAGAAGGATTTCATTGGTTGTTCTTTAAATTCTTTATGATTGGATTAATACCCTTTCACAGTTTTAGAAGTTATTTTTTTTTCCATTCTATCTATGTATGTAAATCTGTAACAGTACTGATGTCCAAATGTAGTAGTGGAAGTGTCTATGCACAAACTGTGATAAGATTGCAAGATCTTTATCAAATCAGATTGGAATGTAGCACAAAACAAATCTATTAAAAAATGGAGGACCAATCGACTGTACAGGCCCTTCAGTGAAGTTCAAGAAAATTAAGTATCTCTGCAAATGCAGAAGGGTAGAGGAGAGTAGCTGTAGTTTATATTACCTGTGCTGAGTGTGCAGGTCTCGGGGCTATCCTCCACAGTAATGTACTGCCTGGAATCATAGTGACTGTCTCCTGGACGTCTGGCATTTCATCAGCATCACCAGCACCGCCAGTATTCTGATCCTTAGAGCAAAGACACAGTGCAGTTAATGACCTACCCACAAACTACAAACACCATCTCACTGCCTACAATTATGTTTGCCTTTAAAACAGATATAATGACTATACACAATACAAAAACGGTCCATTCATGATACGGTTAAAAATAGCTTAGAATACTATTTAGGACGTTTCTTAGCAACTGTTTCAAGAAGTAAAAGAATTGTTGATACTGTTTGGTATACAACATAACAGTGTATTTACATACATGTCCTATACATATAAGTTTATAATGGGATTTTGTAGAGCTTCACCATCAATCCTAATGCATAGTTCTTACTCCAAACGGTCACAAAAATGAGAATACAAGCTAAAATCTTATGTGGATAAAGTATATATGTGGATTTCATGGCTAAGAGGGCACATAACTGTACTGCAAAATCATCATAGCATGGAGGGTAGGGGGACAGAGGGAGAGAAAGCAAGAATGAGAGAGAAAGATGGTGAAGGATGAATAGCAGAGGAGTACGACTGAGGGGTACATCTCATTATTATTGCAGACGTTTAAGCAAGAGAATTATTCTAAAACCAGATGCGTCTGCTCTAATGCAAAGCATTATTCTTGGTTTATACTGGATCAAAGTAAATCTGTCTTGAGCTATAATATTTAGATTCCAGTTGTAGCTGATGGGTTTATATGTTCATGGAAAATGTGAAAATAATCATCCTGTAATTATTGTGCCACCGGTATAAAAAGTATACTTAAAATCTGTGTATGATTGTTCTTCTATTACACCACCCAGTTCAGGGGTGATAATTGTAGAGTATTTATCAGTGCTGGTCAGTTTACTAACACGACCCTACATCATATGAATCAGTACTAGAACATCTGTACACTGTCATTACCTGTTTGTGTTTCTTGGAATCGCCACTTTTCCTTTCTACCTTCTTGTTTGCTTCATAGACCTTTGGCTCTATAGTGTATAAGCACTCCGTCCACTTCCCATAGATAACACGCCGCTTCTTCTTACTGTGCAATAATAAATGTAAATTAACCTCAAACAGAAGCCACAAAAGCACATAACCAAATATAAGCAAATGGATAATGTGATTAAAAGGAACGTCATATAATGATGTATTCTGATATTTAATATTTTGTATGGAATCAAAGGTAGTTACTAGACCAGAGACTTGACTATCAGCAGCTTAAAAGCTGTGAACTGTAGGGCTTGACAGCCAGACATTCCGCTTGATATTTGATGCCAGTGACTGCTTACTTCTTGTCCTGGATATGTCCTTCTACCCGATGCAGTTCTTTGCCAAACATGCCACATGGCTTAAAATTCAGCACGCATTTGTCTCCAGTGCTGGCACACAGAAAAATATTTTCAGCAAAAAAGAAGACAAAACAAGTGAACATTTTAGCCACAAAGCAGGTAATGTGTCTTGTCAAATAATATAAAGGAAGGAAATGTACATTTGTATAGTCTATCATGATGTTCTTCCCAAATAAGACAGCAGGCTTGTTTCTGGTCACTGAGATAAAAGACAGATTTCATTACCTGTGGTTGACTATCTCCACTGTTCCGTACTGCTCAATCCACAGTTTGCCCAGGATGACATTGTGCACACAACACATAGGGTTTGTCCAAGTGTATGCTTCCTTGTGCCTGCAAAGGATAAATTTGCTCAGTTGTGTGTCTGGTTTACTTCAAATCCTACAAACACAATCTTAACCAAACAGAAATAACAAAAAGACACATTTCAGATTCACAGCATTATGCAACGGCTTTTTGTCCTAACTGTCGGTTTTCTCATAAATACTTACTTGGACAGCTCCAATGTCATAGTGCCTTTGGGTTCAGCCTCAACACTTTTGCCCCAGAACTTCAGTTTAGGATAAATGGAACCGTGGAACACAAAGTCCTGGCTGAGCGATTCAGCAAAGAAAGCACTGACTGGTGGATGGTGGCTAACCTGCTCTGAGATCAGTCGGTAACTCTCATCTTCCCTAAACGAAGAAATCACCACAGTATCAACAAATTAAATACAAAGCAATATGAAGAAATACAACACATAGTATGTACAAACACTAAGGTGCTGTTGACAGACAGAGAGATAGACTGACAGACAGACAAAGTGTTGTGGGAAATATGAGACAGTCAGAATTGTTCACAGTGGTAGTGATAGGAACCAGACATCTGAAGAGTTCAATGCCTCTAAAAGCTACATCACAGAAAGTTATTACATGATATTGTTATGAATACACTGCCTGATGCCTGAGAAATTGTGCTGTGGATGTTGGGAGCCCTGGTTATTGTCACCACTAGTGTAAAGATATTCAAATGGGTATGTTTCCCTACAAAGCAGCATTTCACATCAGAATGAATGAATGACTTTGTTCACATCTCAACAACTGAATTATGGACCTTTAAATCTATGGAATTCCCCTTTGAGGTGAAAACAAGGTTTGTGAACAATATTTAGTGGTGTTTGGTACATGGGTTACTGTTTCTAAGGAAATTTCTTTACCATTGTTTGTATGCTTTCTTTTTTTGCAACTGTGAAGAATCTCTATATAAGAGGGTCTTAAACTCCTGTCCCGGAGGGCCAGAACCAAGTGCAGCTTGCTGATTTCCATGCTCGAACACGTGATTAACATCAAATCAATTAATTACTATGTTAAGTAAGTTTTGTTGAGGAGGAAGATCACTTAACTGTGTTGAATTTTGGCCTTCTGGGAACAGAGTTCGGCACCCCTGCTGTGTTATACGCATGACTGTATTACTTATTGGCTTACCTTGTGAGTTCATATGTCTCTCCCAGTAAAGGGTTAAAAGGCTTTCCAGTTCTGTCCCACTGTGACGCCACAGCAGACACAGCAAATGCAGCAACAAGCTAACCAACAAAAAAGGGTTCAGCACAGATGATATGATATGTGTCTGAATGTAACATATAACTGGGAAAAAAGTGTTTACCTGCATTCGCTCTATCGAATCAGACATTGTGCAAGCTTTGTGGATGAGGTATGTATGTTCCATGTACTCTGTAATTCTCTGTAGGAAGCTCAGCGGCTCATTAAAAACAACAGGCATCGTTATTTTAGAGAGCTCCTGTTCCGTTCACAGGTGGAAGTAAAAGGCAAAAACAAAAAAGAAAAAAAAGAAGAAGAAAAAAAACAAAAAACAATGGATTAGCATAAGTATAACAAGAATATAACCTCATCAATGATTTATTCATGTTATAGGGGGTGCTGAAGCACTCTTGGCTATAACACTGTCGACCAAGACTACATCCTTGTCCACGTATAGTGTATTCCCCTTACCATGCCAATGCATTTCTTCAGGAAGCCCCAAATACTGAAATCATTTCTTGAGAACATGGGAGCAGGGAGGGTTGTTCTGCACATGAAGAAACGAAGACGCATACAAGTACCAATAGATACGAACAATACACGTATCTAATGTGTGCACCTCAAACACACCATACAGCACTTTTTCACATGATTTTATGGTTTGATACTAGACGTTTTAATAGATGTGTAGACCCTTGTTCCATACCTTCGCTCCCATACTCCGTTCTCTGATGGCACACGGCCATTTGACGTCTGTTTCCCCTCATACACAGGGGCATCTTTAAAGCTAACCTCACAGGAGTCATCCGATTCCAAACCTGAGAGAGGGTAAAGATCACAAGGGATTACACAGGAGGAAAAACAAACACAATGAGACTGTAGTTAAACTTTTTATAGAAATATAATTGTACCTTTGCGTAGGGCTGGGTCAAATCATTTGACCACCCAAGTATTCATTTGCTATGTTTGTATTCTTTTCTCTATTTAGTATTTGGAAGCTTTTGAAAGCCAATATATAAAGTATATTACGTTTAACTGAATGCATCATATATTCATGCCATCCATGTCACCTCACCTAAGAGCACAACAATGTGCTTGAAGCTAAAAGAGTAAAGATGCCTGAGAAATCATGTGTAAAAAAACTTTAAACGATCAGCTAAAAATTAAGAGGCGAATCAAATATGCTCAGTGAAAAATGAGAAAAAAGAAACTGATAATTCTAGAGAGTATGACAAGTAAGTATAACAATCTTTATCAGCGTACCATCTATCCACACTACCTCCAAATCAGCTCAGTCACGTAACCACCTCATGCGGGAGAATAAGCTCCTTTCCTTTCTAATTAAATATTTTTACAGCGAGAGTAAAACTCGGCACAACAGAACTGTTTATTTTGATGGAATCACAATCACAAGCTTTTACAGCTGTAACACAGAGAAGTCTCACTCACTTTTAGTGCAGCACAAGAGCTGCTCTGCAATTACCACACCAACAAGATTACGTTATTTTAGTACATTTTGATTCGATGATGATGAACTATACTATAGAAAGTGGGACTGTATGATCTGTATGATCTCTATTGCAGTGGAAAAAATAATTTGTTCTTAGATGCATCACAACTTTCTCTTAAAAGATTCTGAATCAATTCACAAAACTTCATTATCAGACTTTTATATAGTCTCCGAGTTTCCCCTATTGTAAATAAATTTACACGCACCGAAAGCAACTTTAAGTAGAATACTTTAGCGCAGCATTGTGTGGAGGAGGAAAGAAAACGCAGAATCTCTTTAATGCACGTTTGCAGCCACAAACCGTTGAGTATATAATGTAAAGACCCGAAAAACTTCGCAAACTTACCCTTATCTAAATATGTGGCTTTGTTTAGCAACCAGCTCAAAAGATGCTAATAACTAATCCAGTGATGTTTAGCATTAGGCTTTATGTAGAAATTATTACTCAAAGATTACTGTAAAGCTGCAGCATGCAAAGTTAAAAATACAATTTGTTTCCCAGAGAGCGACATACCGTCTGAGGCATTTTCAGTACAGGTTTAGATGAGTTGTAAAATTATGAAAATGTTATACTTTACTGTTTTTTTTTATGTGTAAACAGAGCATGTGCCACAGTCTGAAGGTTTTCCAGTAGGGAGGCAATATTATCATGCAAGTCGCTTTTGTGTGCGTCATTTAAAGAGACGAAACAGCCATGAACGTACGTGTTTGCAGTCATTTTCAAAAAAACACACAGGCTGTGTTACTCAGTATTAATATCAATTAATATGTGGTTTTCATTAAATCAGTTAATGTTGAAAAAGCATACATGTCTACAGCCTACAGTGTGTTAAATCATACTGTAGGCTATTGAAATTAGAAACTGACACGCAACGAGATGCATTAAGGATCGTTTTATAATCGCATCTTAGCACCCTGAACTGTGAAGTGCACAATGATTCCCACCTCTAATCTCTATGGAGTTTATGCTTCACTTGTGCACAAATTAAAAAATACATTATTGCGTACTGATGCAAGTCATGTGTCTATCACAGTGGTGTGGACTGAAACAGTGATCAAAATGGAAGTTCTGTTAGATGGACGATTAAAAAGTGCTACAGATACTGTTGATTTTGAGAACGAGTATTATATTATATAAGCACTTGTTCAGAAATACCAGAGAACCTGCCAGCCCTACTACTGTAATATCCCCACCTGTCTCAGCATCATAAAACTCCTCTTCACTGTTCATGATGGACAGTTACTAATGACGACGTCAGTCAGAGTGCATTGTTCCTCCACATCAGGAGTCTGTACGATTTCTATATGGAAAACACACAGTGAAATGAGAAGCTGCATTGCATAGCTGACAAGAAAAATATTGAGACAATTTGTAATCTTATGTAATCTGTAACAAACTGAATGTATGGAAAGCCATCACATGGAAAGCCAACAGCTAGGAGCCATAGTACTAAGTCAACCGAATAATTAATTTATAAAGTAAACTAACTGCACAATATAGGCTGTGTGAGTTATCCTGTATGTGTGAATACCTCACACAGGCTATACAGTGCTGGTCCTTACAAAAGTCAGCTCTTCTGTCCTTTCCTTAGATCACAGCAGTGCTGGGCAGTGCTAGGCAGCGCATGAATGCAGTGTGTTGCTAATATGCTTATAAACAGAAATAATATAAACGTTACATTATCTAATTCTGATAAAATCTTTTAATAACAACACATGCACTCTTATAAAAAGGCAAAAACACACCTTGCTGCAGCCTTCAAGCAGCTGTGCTTGGTAAAAAGGTCTAAATACAGCTGCCTAATCCTGACCACAAACTGAGAGAGCCAGCATCCACCTGCCATTCAACCGGCCATCTTAGGCAATTTTCACACTGTAAAACAAAAATATGACCACGAGCCAGAGCTCTTACTCTGAGAGATGGGGTCTGTTTGTTACAACCCTGCCAAATATCTCCAGATACTACAGTTCTGCATTACAGACTCATGAAATGATATACCATCGCTTTGCCTGCTGAGTTTTTAGCTATTCAAAACAAGTAAATGGCTTAATATGCTTCACGCAATTGCAATAGTCAAAGCAGCATGCAACTGACTGATAACTATGAAAGGGACATGCAGGACGGTCAACAAAAGTGGAGCTACAGCAGTCTAAAATTCAAATAGCCAGGAGCCACTCCTAAAAAAGATGGCAAACTAAGCATCAAACTAAGCTACATGGTTTTAAACAACCATACTTGCTTATTCACAAGCTCAGATCAGATAGTTTTTCAGTCTTATTAACATACAGAAGTATCATCAATGCAAAAATGTAACACCATGATACTTGGGGATCAATAATACATATGATATTTAGTTTTTCTAAGGTTTGCAAACAAGTTGGAACGGAATTTCACCAGCAAAGCAGTTGCACCACACAGAAACAAGTCAGTCCTCTTTATATTTTGCCACAACAATAGGAACCCGCATGCGTGTCTGTAATAAGGAGCTGGGGTGCAGGGTGCCTGAGTCAGACTCAGGTAACGCAAGACTTTCAAAAATCAGCGATCTGTTACGCAGATAAACAGCTGACCACTGTTTCTACCAGACAAGGTAAATCCTACAGTGATATAACCAACACAGTACTGCGCAAATGTCTTAAGCAGCCATGAAAATTGTTTATTTGTCTCAGCAGTAGGTGTATTTTTGCAGGTAAAGAACACTGTAACATTAGAATTAACACAATTAAACACAAACACAGCAAAATCTAAAACATCTTGTTTTTTAAAAACATTAATTATTATCTTGGTTAGTAGAATAAAGTTTAAAGAATACACGTTTAGTGCCTGACTACTCGCTATACTTCAGTCATTGCATGGATTTGTTCGATTCTATCAGCAGCATATCTGATTTATTTTAATGAAGGACTGACGAGATAAACTATGTCTGTATGATAAATAGGAGAGGAAGCCCTATATTTACAGTTACCATACAGTACATAGTTTATATCATCAATCCTAACACAATGACAGACAGAATGTATTCATTATGTATTCCGAATGTTTTGTTTATTTGCGTTTATTCTAATGTTAGTGCTTCTTCAAACAAATATACACTTAATGCATAAATAATCAGCTTTGCATGTCATTTTCTCTTTTCCTCAGTACTGAGTATGTTCTTGCGATATCTCTCCATTATACTACGGTTTAGGTAGTCATAGCTGATGAAAGGTAGATGTTCACAAGCACACAATCAAGAAAAACACTTCCCATAGTGACAACACAGCCTTATGAATACCATATGCTCCATTAAATCTGTATAATGAAGTTACACATTTAAAGTAACAATAGAAAGGGAGAACAGGTCTCTGTGCAGATTGAAAGCTGATAGCTACAGAGCTATATATGGTGACTATGACAACAGTCAGCTATGCTGAGGTCTTCAAGGCAGTAAAAGCTCTGTACACAAATAATCCAGGCACAACACAAGTCATGATATACAACACAAGGCTGTGTGGCAACAAATGTGTCTGTCCTACATGTAAACTTGGCTCTGCAAATAAAAATAAGCATTTCAGTCCTTTTCACCCTTCATCTACAAACAGCTCTTTTTACTACTCCCAGCAGCCACACCAGAAGTCACAGCACTGATGTCCTAAATGCCAAGGAAGACAGAATAACAATGGTCAGAGTATTAAGAGTATCAAGAGTATTAAAGAGTTATTTATCAAGGCAAAATGTAGCCTTGGACAGAAATGTATGCTAAATGTGTGCCGGACAAAATGTATGCTGGACAGAAACATGCACAAAGACATTATATAGGTATGAAGTGAGAAGGCCTATTATTAGGCTAGTTTAACACTTGAAAAGCATATTAACGAAAAGGTCAATAAAACGGCACATATAGAGGTAAACTGGAATGTTTAGTCCAGACTAATGCAAATGCTTTCAAATATAATATTATTTTTATGGATGTACTGATAAAGTAATTCTGGGCCAATGCTGATACCTGCTATTTTCAATGTACATATCTGTCGATGCCGATGCATAAACATTTTTTAAAATGTACTAGAATCATTTGGACCAGTATTACTGAGAAAAGTTTCATTTATTTGTATAAGTTACAAGTGAAGATGTTAATAATATGGACACATTTTAGCACAGTAGCTCAAAAAGCTGCCAAACATTTCTGCTGCCCTATAGTACAAAAAATACATGTAATCAAATATCATAAATCTTCCTCAAACAATTATCTACCAATACACATATGACTGCAATAACATCCAGGAACCATTTTCAGAAAGGTTCTAGTTATATAGAACTGTATACAACATCTACATCATAGTGAAGATACATTTCTCCCAGCAAAGAAACATGTAAGCATGAAATGATTCTACATAGATCTCGTAGTTCTAAACAGAACCACTGGCTTTACTAAATAACCCATGTGTATTTAAGTATGTCTGCATTTACTACTTTTCACTTCAGAAATGACTAAAATTGACCCTTTTCAGTGCGCACAAAAAGACCAGGTATCAGTACTGGTGTTTAGATGCTGGCCTTGGTATTACGAAAAAAAATAAAAGACCAGTAGTGATATCGGTCATCCCTACACAGGACACGACGGCTTGTCAAGCTGACCTTTTTGGCGCACACAACTCCAGGCCACCCGTTCACATCACACCGTTACAAAACAGTCAATAACGCTGCTGTAGCAGAGCAGGCAGGCTAGCACACAGACTGGCTGGCTGGCAAGTTTGGCATACTTTGGCACTGCTGCTGCCGAAAGACGTAGACTGTGCTTTCGTGTGAACAACAGCAGCTAAACTTCTCTGTTTTGACTCGGCGTCGAGCCTCAAAGCCAAACGACCCACATCTTTAGCGCTGCTACCCGCTGTGTGTATCTGTCGACGATAGCTAGCTGCCAAGCTAACCAGCTAGCGAGCTACGTGCACACAGCTTGACTGCACCTCAAGCGAGCCAGTCTTTAACACGACACGTACACGCTGACAAAACACATATATAACACCTTAGTTTTAGAGTTAGAATACAAAATACATACTCAAATGTCTTACATCACCCAAGATCCAGCTTCTTATTATTTTTCCTGGGAGTGAACAGATAACAAGCGTCCAGTTTGGAAGACTGACACGAGGGCGGGCCTATTTCGCAAGGCCCGGATGATTGACAGGCGGAAAGCCAATAGGCTTACAGAACGGTTGCGGATATTTTCTAAGAGGCGGGCCGACTGCTGATTGACAGGGCTTAGACCAATAGGAAGCGGATATAGGGTTATGCACAAATAGACGGGGTTTGACGTTACATAAAGGGGAAGGGACTAAAAAGGCATGGATGGGTGTTATTTATAAGTACTGTAATAAATATCTACCTTGTCAGCTGTGCTCTTTGACCGAAGTGCAGCTAGAAATACATGGTGGCTAGTTAAATACTTAAATACTTAAATTTAAGTACATTTTTTGATAGATTTGTATTTAGATGAGTATTTTAGTGTAATAGTCACCATATAGTATATGTGAGGAAAGGAATCTATGTTTTATTCAGTTGCATATTAGTCCTTCTAAAGTTCATACGTTGCTTATATATTATGTTTAATGTCTATTTGCCATAAATCTTATTTGGTCTTGGATTTATTAATGCTGTAAAAGTCTTGTCACAGTTCTTGTAACATATATTTATCAGTCAACATCCTAAATTTCACACTTTTCCAGACAGATTGCTTTATGACTGATACCACATATGTCAGCTAGAAAAAGGCAACATGCTTTTGCTTTTACTGATTTTCTTGGAGGCTACATCTGCGCCTGCTTCAGAAGACCAAGATTTTCTGCAGTAATCTCTTCACACAGTTTACTGTTGCATAAAACTTTTAGTAGTATTTGTAGAAATTTATTTCATGACCTGTGCTGTATTAAATCATTAAACATTCAATCTAATGTTTACTAAAAACTAATTCAAAAATATTCTTACGCGGCATTTTTGTCTTGAGCATTTTTTATATACTGCTTCCACTACTTTTCAGCCTGTGTCTGAAGTTGCACTTATCAACACCAGATGGCAGAACAGTCCAAGAGGACTAACAGTCTTATTTCAGAATTCACTTGGTTTCCCATAAAGCCAAAGGAGGGGATGAAGGTACAATATGTCGTAAGGTACCTAGACGCTCCCTGCAGTTAGTGAACTCTGCACTCGAACGTGAAGCCAAAGGGGTATAAAGCCCCCCAGCATTGGGATGTGGAGGCCAGTAGCTGACCTCACGAATATTCTTGTGTCCGAATGCAATCAAATCCTCACAGCAATGTTCCAACATCTAGTTCAAATCCTTCCCAGAAGGGTAAAGACTGCAGCAAACAAGGGACAAACTCCCTAAAAGAAAGAAAAAGACAGAGAAAAAGTGAGTGAAAAAGAGAGAGACAGAGAGAGAGAGGGAAAGAGAGAGAGACAGAGAGAGAGAGAGAGAGAGAGAGAGAGAGAGAGAGAGAGAGAGAGAGAGAGAGAGAGAGGCAGAGGAAGAAAAGAAGAGAAAGACAGAAAAAATGTGTGTAAGAGTGAGAGAGAGACAGAGAGAGAGAGAGAGAGAGAGAGAGAGAGAGAGAGAGATGAAAGGGGCGGGTCGTTGTGTTTTCAAACCCAGATTTACACACTCAGACCGGGGCAGTTGCTCAGAGTTTCATCTGCAGCCAAAGCTGCTTTAAACACTAAGAGAACTGACCGCTTTAAAACCGGCTGAGCTCCAGCCTGAACTACACGCGCTGACCGCTCATTACGCAGAGCGGTCAAACACGGTACGCACATCTGAACAAAAGTAACTGATCAGGCCTTCATTTTCATTTGTAACTCTTTTTCATTAATTTTTCACTTTCCAATTCATTTTCATATTTTCTTTTTCGTTTTATTGTCACTGTGTGTTTTAATTTTCTTTCTCCCTCTTTTTTAGCTGCATGACGAAAACTAAGGTGGAAGACGCTCCTCCGTTTTTCTCGCTCCTGTCCAAGATCCCGCGGACCGCGCGAGCCATGACCGGCGGAGACGCGCAGGAAAGGCGCGGGCACCGGCATGCGCTGCACGTGAGCGCGCCGGTGGGTCCCGTCGACCGCGCGCCGCCGCGAGCGAAACCGCGAGACGGCCACTCGAAACCGGCCGGAGGGGCGAGCGGAGGGGACGAGAGGGGCAAACGGGGTGAGAAAAGCCACCGCGTCGCCCCTGGGTCTCAAAAAACCCGCGCAAAAACAACCGGGAGAAGGAAATCATCCGGTGCCGGTAACACGTGTGAGGATACTGGTAAAGATCCCGGCGGTGCCCGCAGTAAGCCCCCCTGTACGGACAGCAGCTCGGAGGTTTCAGACAGCACCTCTGAGGAGAGCAAGACAGCTTTAACTAACGACGGCCAGAGCAGCGACGGAGACAGGACGGCGGACGCGAGCCGGAGAGGAGCCGAGGACACCGGGGAGAGTGACCATTTGGCTTCGCCCGTAGACCATCTCACCAGAGGGCAGAGGAGCATCTCTCCCGGAGACGAGCGGTCCTTCGCCTCGCTGGACAGCCGCTTAAACTTCAGCTCGTCTCTGGCTTTCTCAGACCTCACCGGAGACTTCAGTGAGGGGCCTAATGGAGAGCTTCTGAGAGAGATTGAAGACTTAAGATCAGAAAATGAATATTTAAAGGTAAATCTGACCGAATAAAATGTTTTTCGGTGACAAAACAGGTGTTAATGAAAGAGTTCACATATTAGTTAAATACAACTGTCATCCTTACTTGTGAGAAAACGGGCTAAAAATGCACACCCCCCTCCTCCCCGCCATTGGACTCTCCCTCGTCCTGTATCACTTGGCACTGCCAGAGAGGATTCATCTTTGGCATTGCCCTGTGGTTTCCTCAGGGGAGGGCGAGTTAAAAACTGCAGCCGCTCACCTTCAAAATAAATAAGAATTTTAGTCAAAATTTGGTGTGTTATTGATGCACGAGTTTGCTTCTTTCGAACATTTTTAGCTTGCTTGATCCAAATAGCCACCAAGTAGTCAAACCAGGTCTGGCTGTAATATTTCGACTAATGAGTGGGCATCAGAAAACCACAGAGGGGCAGAGTGGGGAGGTGTGTGCAGCACATCCATGCAACACACAGTGCATCCTTGAAATGCAGCCAGTACAAAATAATACATGCAAACCATCCTATCGCTGCTGTCAGAAGAAAATGTCATATCTCCATTTTTGTTGTTTATTTTAGTTTTTGACATAATTTGAAAATGCCTGTTGCCCTTTACATTGTGTGTGAATTTCATGATGAATGGACCAAAAGAAACGGCCCAAAATTACTTGGAAAAAAGTCTGGTTCCATTGACCTTCATTAAAAGTAAAGCAGCTTTTTTCCTTCTCTTGTAAAGTTATCATTTTGGAGATACAAGATTTTCTTCCGACAACAGCGCTATGTTAATCTATGTAGCTTTTAATTCTTGTTACTATTTAGTTGGGGTTTTTTTTGCTGATTCGCCAATATAGATTCATGAACAAAATACTGGATTTAGATGCGCGTACTGTCTCATTGGTGGGGCCTTGCCCCACAAAATGACCCATTAATGTCAGCCAGCATCCCCATTGGTGTGGCACAGGTTCCATGTCATTGGCCTGTTGTGGGGAGCCAACACTGGGCTGAAAGAGATTTGATCATTGGTGTGGCATTGGCCCCACATCATTAGGCAGCCCACACTGGGCCACTGGATAGTTGCATGACGGTCTCAAATATGCAGTCACTAGTTGGGTTTCTATTGAAGAGTGGGTCTTCTCATTTATTGCAGTGTTTGCAGCGTGTTATTTGACATCCATTCATTCATTCATTCATTTATGTATGTATGTATGTATGTTGACCATGCTACAGTGCAAGAGAGCAGAAGTAAACGTGACATGTTGCAAAAGGATTTAGGGTTTAGCTTCTTCTTAGCGAACCTGTAATACTTTCGCTAAATACCTGGTGTCATCCCTTATTGTCACTGACGCAACAGATAGGTTAGGACAAGAAAGAGGCCAAGCAAATAATACTGAGACCAAATGGTTTGAATGGAAGAAAGGCAACACCAGCAGCTCAGGCTTGGCACACAGCTCTGCTTTAACATACCAGTACTTAACTGCACCTTAGTAAGCCTGTAGCCTGTAGTCCTCCCCTCACTACTGTCTTTCTTTTGAGCTTTTAGTTGAGCCTTTGGTTACTGCCCTTTATTCTGTCTCTTTGGTTCAAATAAATCATATCTAATTGTGGGTCATTTCTAATAAAAATACCCTCTATCAGCTCATGAAATGTTGACGAAGTTCAAATAAATGGAAAAGGTTTGCTGTCTCCAGTATTGAGACCATTTCACAATTTCATTTTATTTCAGTACAGATGGTAAAAAAATATAATAGGTGCATGTTATAATGAATACTGTTTGGTCCTATAGGACAAGATGTTAGAATGAGTGTTTTGGTTGTGATGTGATGCACACTGTGTCAGTGCTGTGGCCATGGTGACTCCAGTAGCGTTGTGTTGCTGTTCATTCAGAATGAGATGGAGGAGCTGCGCTCTGAGATGCTGGAGATGAGGGACATATACATGGAGGAGGATGTGTACCAGCTGCAGGAGCTCAGGCAGCAGCTGGACCAGGCCAACAAAAACTGCCGCATCCTGCAGTACCGACTCCGCAAGGCTGAGAGACGCAGCCTGCGAGTCGCTCAGACCGGCCATGTGGACGGGGAACTTATCCGCACTCTGGAGCACGATGTCAGGGTTAGTGGCTACTGTTTTGGATGTTAATGGTGATGACTTACATAAAAAAAAAAAATAACTTAAATATAATATGGTTCTTGCAAGCATGTTTGTGGGCCAGCATGCGAACTGTATATTCTTAAAAATGAGTACAGTGCAAAAGCCATAGACCACCTTCATTTATTTGACTTCCAGTCAAAATGGGCATTCATTTATTCATTTTTCAGCTTCAGGAAAAAAAAGCAGAAAACATATATTTAACAGAAAATTATACATAGAAATCTCAACAACCAAATATAATATAGAATTTTTCAGTATATATTGTGTCCACCCTTTACCTTCATTACTGCTTCCATTCTATTTGGGAAACTTGCTTTCAGATTTTCAAAGAAATCTGCAGCAATCATTTTTCACACTTCCAAAGTTCTGTCTTAGGAGTTGGTCGCACGTTCTGCTTCTCATAGTCCAAGCAGTCTCAGAAATGCGGTGATATTCAGGTCTGGCCTTTGGGGTGGCCAGTCCATTGTTCTAAGAAGACCAACAGCTTCCCTGATTTGCAAATTTTCTTCTTTCTCCTTTTGTCAGTAAGGGCTTCTTGACAGCTACACATCCTTTCAGACCCATAGCATTAAGTGTTCTCACAGTGAAAGGATGTACAGAAATATCAGTGGATTTATTCAAGTCTGTAGCAAGAGTGGAGGCTTGAGTTTTTTATCTCTCAAAGATGAAAGTATGGTTTATCTGACGATGAAGATAAAGATCTCCAGAAAAACGAAAAACATGCACTTAACGGCACTGAAAAGTAAATGAATGAAGGATGGTCTCTTTCATTTGTACAGTACTGTTAGTGCCAACGAGGTTTCTTTGGAGAGATGCCAAAGATTAACCACTTTTGGTTCCCAAAGGAACCTTTCAGAGGATGGTTCTTTAAAGAAGATGTCAGAGTATGAGCTTATAAAGAAATTTAAATTTTAAAGAACCTCCACATAAAATATAGGGTCCTTACCAATTCAAGGTGTTTCCTAGAAGCCTACATCCAAGTCAAGAACCATTTAGGAATTTTTGTTTATAAGAGTGTATATATTCATGAGTCATGATGTTCAGTGTCATTTATGGGAAAGATCAACCATTTCTTTTCATTGTGCCATTTACCTTCATTGTGTTATTAAGTCACTCCCCTTACAGGTTTTCCCCTTACATTAACTAGCAATTTGATGACTGACTGTTCCTCACAAACTGGTGTTTGTAAAGAAACACTTTGAAGGATGCCGTCCACGTCCCTCATTAGTCCAGGATGTGTGTTCAGATTACACAACACTGGACCAGCTAAGTGTGACTCTGAGCCACAATATATGAATCAACATTCTGTGATTCAGAATAATCTCACTTTGTGTTGTGCAACTGTGTCTCGTTTTGATACCTTCTCAGGCTCCAAACCGCACTACTAAAACCCTTACTAAAGACCGTGGCTGCGATAACATTTCAGAGGTTTTAGTCAAGGAGTTTATAAAGAGAGGGCACTGGAGTTTATACAGACTTGCTGGAGATTTCATGACTATGTGTGTATAGTGAGACGCTTTCTGTTTTGGAGGTGGTCCAATTATCTTTTACGGTAAAATGGAGGGAAAAAATCCTGAGTGCTGTGCTTGCCAGCTGCTGTTTTGTGGCAGACCACTCACAACACAAGCATTTTTTGGTTTAAACTCATCAGCCAATCAGGGGAAGAGAGCTGTGCAGGAACGTTATTGCCATTAAAAGCCAATCAACACAGCAGGGGTAGCCCACATCAATGTGTGCTTCCCTTGAACATTGCCCCATGCTATGCAACAATTCCCTGAGCTCTTGTTTATCCTTTGTAAGCATAAATCCATGACTCCTGGTTCTGTTTTGTTCTGAAAATTAAGCATGACTATGTTTAAGTTTGTTAAGACAGTTTTATAAGGATGTTACGATTTCAGTGTGGTACTGGAAAAATGAATGTTCAAAATAGTGTATTGAAATTGTATCATTGATAGTCTCTCTTTCTTTTCTGAGGGTCTCTCATTTACTGTCTTTTGGAGAAACCACTCTCAATGATTAAAGCTAGGCATCTAGGAGCATCTTGTCTATTTTTGTACTGTTTATAGCTCGGTAGCACTCCTTTTTTTATAAGTTTAGGACATGTGACTTTGCAATCTTACAAATAAAATCTGCATTGTTCCGAGTTGAAACAATCTGGGCTGGGTTTCCTAAAAGCAACTTAGCGCAAAGACGATTCTTAAATGGTAGAGCAAGCATCACACTGAACACTCTCTCTACCAGTTTAAGACGACCTTAACTCTAAGTTGATTTGGGGAAACTAGGCCCTGTGTATTATATAATGAGAGCTTTATAGAATCAAGACTTTTTAACACATGCCAGCTGTTGCCTGCTAACCTAGCCACTGAGCTATAGGCTAATAAATACATCAAATTAGTGTAGCTCTCCTAGGTTATCGAATTGCAAAGAAAATAGCAATTCTGTCTTTATTGGGCACAAAATGGACACAGAGGCAGGTTTTTAACCTTCTCAGCCAGAGAAAAGAAGCTGTACTGAGTAGGGCTGCAACAAACAACTAATTTCATAGTTGAATTATCTATCGATTACTGAAGCGAATAATCGATTATTCGGATTATGAACCACTACATTATCAAATAATTTTTATGCAGTTTTTAGCTTTTAAATTTAGCTTGAGGTTGCTGATACAAAAGATAAAAAAAAACTTCAATATATTTTTCCTGTCAAAATTTATAACCAAGGATGTGCAAAGTAGCAGCAATAAAACATAACAAACTAAATAAGTTTTTCTTTAATCAAATAAATAAATTTTAAAAAATCTAAATTTAAATAGTGCAGTCTGTGCTCTGTGCATTCTGCTGTCTGTGTAAACTCAGCGGTAACCCTTTGTCCAGCTACCCCGTGTGTTCACGGAGAACTAAGCTACCTCCCTAAACTGTTAGCGAGTGGAGCCAAGCGTTCGTGGTGAACAGAAAACTGCAGTCGCTCTCCTGTGTTCACCGAATCTGACCGCACCGGTGGCCTCGACGCTAAGACGACGGTGCAGTGTTTAAAAATGTAAACGTTATCTGGAAAGTCAACAAGAGTCGCTGTGAATAATAGTTACTTGCTCCTCTGTTCCAACTCTGTTAACAATTCCAGAGAACCTGCATTTCGAAATACAAATGTTCCAGCTCAGCTCACAACATGAAATAGGGCGGCTTTTAGCATTAACATTAGCTAACTAGCTCACTAGCACAACTATCGCCGCGTCCCGAACCACACACTCCTGTGCTTAACACACTACACTAATGAGTGCACTTCTAGTGGTATATGCGCTATTTTTACACACTATTTAGTGTGCCAGTATGCGATTTGGGACGCGGCGTATCTTGCCGAGCTGAATCTTCTTCCGACAAGTTTCCTCTTGAGATGCTCCATCGTGGAGGATGTGCTCCCATAGCCAGCTAACATCAGCTTTACAAATAGCACAACTGACAACCTTTTTTCTGAGTTTGGCGTAATGCTTTCACACATTAGAGGATTTTGTTCTTGAGGCTGACATCGCTCTATTATTAAGTCTCCAGTAAGCGGTAATGCCAAAACGTTTCTAGTGAGCGTGAGAAAGACGCGTAATGACGTCACCAACTAATCGACTACTAAAATAGTTGCCAACTAATTTGGTCGTCGATTTTAGTCGACTAAGTCGAATAATCGTTGCACCCCTACTGAGATAAGGTATCTGGTTAGCCAGGTAGCAATCTTCAGCTCTCCATTGTAATGATGATTTGAAGACAGTTTTGGCTGCAGTAAGATATTCTGCCTCCTAACCTTCATTCTTCATCCTCCAGCTCATGGGGGAAAAACAGCCCAACTTCACCATAAAGTGGTTGTAGTTATTTAAACGTTCCTCCACCTTCAAGATGCATCATCAGAAGGGGTTTTCTAGTCTTTAAACTGGAAACTTTCCAGTGGCTTTTTTTTTTTTAATTGGCCAGAGTGATACTGAAAATCGAAAAAATATCAAATCGAATCTTGACCCCAGAATCAAAAATTGTTACACCCCTACAGTTGTATGACTAAAGGGGGATGTGTTACTTGCAGAAATCTGTATGTAGGAGAATAAATGTGAGGAAGTGCTAGAGTATATATATGTCAAGGACTGTGGCCAGCAGCATCAGTGAAGGAAGTCTTGCGACAGCTGTCTTTGTTCGCTGGGGGCATACCCATGACCAGTCTATTTTAGAGGCATGTGGGAGAAATAGATACTCTCAGTCTGTTTTGTATAAACTGGGACAGTGTATGTGTGTGTGTGTGTGTGTGTGTGTGTGTGGGTGTGGAGAGAATATCCAGCACACTAGAGCTCTCTCTAAGGTCCTTCTGTCCTCAAACACCACCAAGGTGATTCCTGCAGCTTGACCTTTCAAATGCATCACTTACTCTGTCCTCCCACATGTCTTAATCCTTCTCTTTATCACTGGTGGAACAAAGTGCTGTTTTCTGCATGCAATAATAAGACCCAGACGTCTTCTTAACCCTTAGAAATTGCGCTTATCTACAGCAATAAGAAAAGCATGCTCATAACAAAAGCATGTAGGTTTTGAATACTTGGTGATGTTGCCAAATGAGTTATTGAATACTCAAAATCACCATTAAAAGCAATTTTTGAAGCATTTTTAGTTGTCCATCTGATGGAACAGATATGGTTCCATAACATTCCAGTCCAGACTGGCTGGCTTTGTTTACATTTCAATGAATCATACAGAAATTTTGAAAATCATTGGAATTACTTTTAATTTTCTGTCCTTAAAACAGCAACTAGGAAAAGGAAAACAGAATCCTGTGATTAATATCATGATATAGTCACATGCACCCTGAACCCCTGGATATTGCCATTGGACATTTTTTAATATCATAAATGCTGTATAATTGAGCACTGTTTTAAATAAAGCCCGTTCAAGTCTTCTTTTCCCAGAGGAGTGCTGATGGGCGACTTATGTTGTTTATCTGATTATACACAAATACCGTCTTTCAGGTAGCAAAAAGCGTGTCCCTTCGGCTGCACAGTGAGTTGGAGGCCATGCAGAAGAAGAGCTCTCGGTTGGAGTGGGAGAATGAGGAGCTGCGGGAGCGGCTGCAGGATCTGGAGGTGGCCAAGCAGGTCCTGCAGACAGAGATAGACAAATCTAGAGAGGTACAGACACAGCGATACAGCATCTTAACTGGTTTCCTACATGAACACACAGTTCTGACAGTACATCCACTTGGATGGGCGTTTTCAATATTGACAGTGATTGCAAACAAAAATGGTCTAGTAATTTTATCAGTATTCGAATAGTTAAATGTCATTTTAGCATGACTAAGTGTAACTGTTCAGTGTAACTGTGGTAAGACAGTTTCCACTTGCAAAATGTGCATTCTACTTTTTCATCAGTTTGTTTAAAATGTCTCAACACTTAACTTCACCATTCTCTTTCACAGCAAACTCTGTACTGAACATAACTGAATGTCAGTTGACGCTGTGATCTTCTGCTCCAATCAAAATTAATTGCAATTTTAAACTATACAGTGATTTATATTAATGTCTTACTGACTATATATGGGTTGGCTGATAAAATTGTATGTTTTGGTGTCACAGATTTATCACCAACTTAAAAAATCTGACTAGTAAAGCACTGAAATTGCTTTGAAGTTGTTTCCTTTATAATAAAATGAACACACACCTTTAAATGAGGAAGATCAAATATATATCTGAGGATTTATTGGCCACATTTGCTTTAATCACTCTTTAGAGACTGCTAATTTAGCTGTTCATGTTTTATTACAGGTATGATGTAAAATAAGGAAAATAAAGGAACTGATGAAAAATAAAGAAAGGAAGAGTTATTTAACAGATTCCAAAAAAAGCCATGCTGGGATGCATTTGAATATTTATATTATTTAAAGTGACACTATGTAAGTTATGGAGATGTGGAGACCTCTCTGGTGACAATGTGTAATTGCACGCAATATGCAGAAGAATATTTTTTAACATGGGTTGTGCTTCAGGTCCCTTCCTGAAGCAGATGAAACAAGGTGAACTCAGTCAAAACTTTATCTACTATTGTTGTCATATCTCTATCAGAGTTGTTTATTGGTTATCAGAGATTTTAACTCTTTAAAACCAGTAATGTTATCAGTTAAAACATTTTCATATTGATCTGTATCTGAAAATTACATCAACAGCGTCCATTTTAACCGAGTGAATGGTCAGGTTTTTATACTTATCCCCCTAAAGTTTGTGTCCTTTAGTGACCCAGTCTCCTCTTCTCTCAGTGGGTTTGGGTTTCAGCCTGACCTTGACCCCAGCTATGTGCATGATGGGCGTGACCAACAGCTGACTGTTTGGGCAAAGCACAGCAGTATAAGATCTGAGGGGTAGAATTCAAGGCACAGCTGTCATTCTCGCCTGTGGGTGCAGGGAAGGAAAGAGAGAGATGATAGAGAGAGAAAGAAGGAGAGAAAAAAGGGGAGAGAGCAAATGATGGTGACTGAAGCTGTGCAATGCTCTATAAATAAATCTACAGAGGAGGTCCTTGTCTGTCCACCACTGGTTGTATGGTATCTAGCATGTGGCTAAATGTGGGTCATGCCTTTACCTTCTGCGTATTAATGTTATTCTAAAGATAAAAAAAGGCTTAAGACATCTGCATTTCTTCTCATCACCTCATGCAAGTTCGTCAAAAAGAAATGATCGGCCCAACATAACTATTAACTTCACTAATAATTCACTCCTCATTGGCCTCGGAGGCCAGGAGCCCTGGCTCTGCTTTAGTAACGGCGCTGCCCCACGGCAAGCGGTCAGTTTAATCCAGGATTCGGTGCTTAAAGGCGGATAGCTGCAGCTCAGCTCAGCTTGCTCATCTCCAACAGCTGCTGCCCTGCTCTGATCCCCATGAACAGAGCAAATCACTCACAACCAGATTATCCAGCTCTACACTAAACTCAGAGACATAATCAATAAAACCACCCGCAAGATGTAGGCGTGGCTGTAGTTCATTGAAGATTGAACTAGTTATTGCTGAATCAGGTTATTCTGTGAATTCAGGGCCCACATCATGGAAAGGATACTTTATCATGCTTTTTTTAAAATAAAAGTTAGTTAGGTGTAGTATGTCCATACAGTCAATATATTAAATGTAACCTACAAAAACAGCCCTTACATGCATCTGCCCTTTCAGCCAATATTGAAGCTATAGGAATTATTTCATACTGGTGTAGTGGAAATAGTTGATGCTGTCAAAAGTTGACGCATTACATTTAAACTCGGATGTGCAGATGTTTGCAAGTGTGCAGCATACATTTGACTAATCTGGCATAAAAAGTTGACACTTGCCTGTGTAGCAGTAGAGATCTCTGAAGTTGTGCTGGTGTTGGTATATAACAGTTGAATAGTAGACTTACTTTCATTTCAGTGTGCAGAAGCGTTAGCTTGCTTTTAGCAATATTATTCATATTTTGACTGCTTAACAACCTCGTAATTCAGAGGATCCAGTGAAAAAGGTACACAAGACAAAATGTATCATCTTTCATTTTAGTTTACAACAGGATGTGGACAGAAGTGATTTTTGAAAACGCCATTAATTTCTGTCTTAGAGAAAACTGGCTTAGACACGAGTTCCTGATATGGGCCTGATGCCGAATACAGAAAATGCATGAATCATAGCCAAATATTTACTAGGCCAGAATCATATTGCAGAGAATTGATGTAATGTAAATTTGTCAGCTGTTTCTCTAAATAACAGAGCAACAGAGTTCTACAGTTACTTTTACTAAACAAAGTGAGTAGCACAAAGAAAGATGTTGTAACAGGCAGAAAAGTCCATAAAACTACTGCAAACATTTAAAAATGAAAGGCTGCTCTTTCATCCACAGTGGATTAAATCACTAGCTAATGCCAGAGCTAACCATGTAACGTCAGTGGTCATCTTCTGTGAGGTAAATCCTTTTCTGTTCAGTGGATGATGTGCTCATCCCCTGAGCTCATGTTGGTTTGTAGATGTAACAAAGAACAAAGAAATATCTTCATCTATCATAGTTAGCATAAAATAAATATTGTACAGTGTCAACTTTCCAGTATCTTCTTCTAACATTCAACATAAAAGTTCACCATGAGAGAATCCTGCGTCAAATTTTGACATCAACTATTTTCGTTGCACTGTTTTTTAAATGACTCACAATATGTTGACTCACATATCCGTCTTAAACGCACAGTAAGAAAACCTGTTAAATTCAAAGGGGTAGATAGAAGTTGGCAAATTAACAAGAAAATCAAATCAGTTATGAAAGTTTTTAGTAAATAAACCTAATATAAAAAATGTCGGATGTAGCTTTTTAACTCTCATTTTAAATGCAGTATCAGGATCTGTCAGGAGGAACTGTGTAGTACTGTTATAAATATTTATTACTGAGTTGAGTTTGGGTCAGTGGTGTTATTTTTATATTTTATGTCCACTGGGAATGTCACAGCCAGGGCCGTTTGTGCTTGTAGGTGCTGCTTCAACCCTGGCTAGTAATCAAACAGAGCAGCAGACAGAGAGACTGACACTAGCTGGCATTCCTCTCATACTCAGAGCAGCAGGCATACTTTGCCTGTAGTATTGGATACAGGGCTTTGGGCCAGGACTGTGATAGAGTGACTGAGTATTGTATGCACAATATGTGCGTTAGGGCTGCACGATAAATTGTATTTTTAATGCTATTGTGATATGAGTTTCCACGATAAGCCCATCATGATGACAGAATGGATCAAATTACCTCAGATGTGTATCGCAAAAAGGACAGAATTAGATTGTCAGGAAAGCATTAGAAGCGCAACAAGTGCCTCCCTGATGGACTTGACACTGGTCTTCCACATGGAGAGCAAGTAACTTAGTCATTTGTCTAAACAGCACATATTGTGCAGAGCTCATCCTGAACTACTGCCCTATTAAAATGTTTCAAACATGATGATCATTCTCACTCTCAGTGTTAAATGCATAGACTGCATGGAACAGTATTGGCCACGACATGTCACAACATCTGCAAAATCATTAGGAGCTTTTTAAGGAATGAAACATATATTTATTCATTTTTGTTTGTCTATAAAGAAAATAAAAATATTCACATTTATTTTTGTTTGTAGCCTGACTGCAAACACGAATAGAAAAGGCTGTTCAGGGAATCCTGAGTGTTTTAGACTAAAGTATCTCATGGAACTCACTAACGTTTCACAGTCTACAGCAGTGCTGCACATCAATGACACTGTGTCCATATTCAACCTTACAGTGCACAAAAATATGCTTGGCTTTTTAAGGTCATTACATTATTTCTTATCTACTTGCTTGAATAGATTGTATAAAATGTGTGATGTAAGCTGGTCTAAGTATTTTTTAAGGGTAAATGGTGCTTTTGTGTATTTATTTGCTATTTGCTTAAAGGAGAGGTTAGTTAGATTTCTGTTTACACAGCAAAAAAAAGTCTGCATTTGTGGCACATTCAGTTAAAGGCACACATTTTAGGTCCATATTGTGCAGCCCTAGTGTGCCTACTAACTGTACTTAACAAAATGGGACTATGTATTGAAAAGAAATGCAAATAACTCAACTTTTAAAAATAAATGAATTAATATGAATAATGAATGAATAATAAATAAATTCCAATTACACATCGATACTATTGGTGTGTCCACAGAATTCTCTTAAGAGGAGATCGAGTTTGAGATCAACAGCCAGCAAGAATGAAAAGAGGCTCTCTCCACAGGTGAAAACAGAGTTTTTTATTAAAACTACATTTCATGATTGTACTGATGAATTTGCTATTCATGTCAGCTTTCAAAGAACAAATGTCCTTGTAAAGTCAAATTTCTCAAATTACAGTATTTCCTATCTACTTGCTTGAACAGATCGTATAAAAATGTCTGTGCTTAATAGGAAGACAGTGCAGATCTGAAATGCCAGCTCCATTTCGCTAAAGAAGAGTCAGCACTCATGTGCAAGAAGCTGACCAAGATGGCTGTGGAGTGCGAGAGCATGCGAGAGGAGTTAGCCAAGTACAGGCTGCTTTACGGTGACGTGGATTCGTCTCAGGCTGCTGCAGGCACCACTACCTCCGCCCACACCCGCGAAGCAGAAGTCAAAGTTCATCTGCGACTGGTGGAAGAAGAGGCCACGCTGCTTAGCCGGCGGATCGTGGAGCTGGAGGTGGAGAACCGGGGGCTGCGGGCGGAGATGAGTGAAATGCGGGAAAGAGCTGGAGGTGGCCAAGAGGATGAAGATGAAGTGATGGAAGGAGGAGGGGAGCGTCTGGCTATGTCTGTCTGTGTGGGAGTAGGAGTGAATGCCGATGAAATGGTGTGTAGTGGACATCCAAGGTTTGAGGAGACAAATGGATCAGAGGACCGTCCACTAAGCCAGATCCTCAGAGAGGGGCCAGTAGGTGGAGAAAGGGACCCACTCGAAGACCAAGAGAAGTCTGCTGAAAATACAGAGTGTGCTAAACAAGCCCGGTCTGAGTCAGACTGCAGTGTCAGCCTGAAGGACTTAGAGGTCCTCCTTGCAATCCGTGATCAAGCTATGCTAGTTACGTCAACCATCCAATTGCTAACAGGCCAAACAAAAAATGGACTCGCACCAACATCTAACCATAACTTAATCTCTGACACCCCTTACCTCAGCAAAAAAGAAGTTGAGTGGAGGGCCCACCCATGGCTTCTGGACCCCATGTTAAGCCCTCTAACCAGTGGATTAGAGGTGCTACAGGCCCAGTTATGTGCCCTAGTTGCAAGATTAGAAGTTCTCGTGAGTTCAGCACCCACTGAACATGAATCAAAATGCTTGATTTCAGAAACTGGTGACGATACAAATACAGAAAAGGTGCTGGAGACAGACAAACAAGAATCACAGAAAAGTCCTACTGATGACTGCCATTCAAGCAGCAGCCAGGGACACACCTGTGACCAGGACAGTATGGAGCTGCTCACACTGCAACTACGCTGGTTCCTCCAGCAATGGCGTCAAGGGGAGAGACCCACTGGAGAGAGCAAGAGCCTGTTTGAGGTAAAGCCATTAAGATTGTTTTTCTTGTACTATTCTAAAGAGAGAGCTGCGTTCCGAAAGTGATGTGCATAGAAATCTGAACAATAGATAAATGATGAAGACAGATCTATTGAGATTATCTACTTTTCTAATTAACTGTAACTTATTATTTCCAGATGGACTTTCACAAAGATCTTTATCTTCAAATGGAAGCAGAGTTACAGGAATCCAGCAAAATCTGCACCTCATCTGTAGAGAATAACCCTCATGAAAAGTGCAACAGACAGGTATGAACAAGTATGGGGAATGAGTGGGACCACCATTCCCACACCATAATGGATAAGCTTGGTGTTGCGGTGAAATAAATGTTTTCACTGTAGCTGAATGATATAAATAACTGATTAGGGCTGTACTAATATACTAATGATGTAGGGATGTATTGTGGGGCTCATATAATAGAAAAACAAATTTCCAAAAAATGTTTGAAATGAAGGAGTTTGAAGTAATTTTAAGCGTTGTTGAAGTTTAAAATGCACCATTCACTACCCAGTCCATTGTCATTATATAGGACCTAAGCTGTGAAAACAGTCCATTTAAAATTAATTTTGAATTTGCTATGAGAACCAACACATTCCCATATATCCTATTCAGCCTACAGCAGTTTAGCACCCTACATTCACAATAAAGCAGTGTGAATGTGCAATTTCACCCCTTTTGAGTGTTTTTTTAAAACATTTTCTAAGCCACTTATTCTTCTGGGTTGCGGGGGGAGCCTATCCCCCATATATATATACCCTTTATACCATATATATATATAGGTTGGAAAATGATCATGTAAAAATTAATTATGTACCATTTTTGCTACATAAAACCACACAAATGTTATAAGTGGACATTAAGGGAAAAAATAAAATACAAGAAAATGTATGATATGTAGGGATGTATAATGTACTGATTAGGGATGCGTTGTCTTGGGTTTTAACCCTCAGCCCTCCACAAACATTGCACTTTGGCCTCCCAGTTGGCCCCCCTGCACTAGCACATTTTCAGTACTTTAGCCTAAGTTGCGATATAAACAATATTCTGTGCTCTTTAATTGGCCAAACTGACATTTTAAGTTTGTAAATGAAAATTTCGTTGCCTACATGAGTCAATTAAAATGCTGAATTAAACGTATATAGGGAACTGTTTTTAGCACAATTATTCATACCTAATAACAGCACAATATTTTGGAACAGGTGTAGCAATAGCATTCAAATACATGGGAGTGCACTTGGCAGGCTGATATTTACGTCATTTACGTCATAAAATCGCTACGAAGATCTGCCAAAATCAAAACAATAAATTCCCGACTGCGTGTTTGGAGCAAAAATCTGCAGATTTCGATCTTCGCTGATTCAGATTTTGCATCTCTAGTACTGATACATGATATCGTTACTGTAGTCAGTGCTTTTAATACACCGGGTGTTGTCTCATCTCCACAGGTGACCAGCGCTCTCCTCTCAGATCTGAGGGCTGCGCTGCAGGATTTAGGCTTCGAGTTGCAGGAGGAGTACTGGGCTGGCCAGCGCATTGCACAGCAGTTTGCACAAGCTAAAGCAGCATGGATAGTGGAGTGTACAGAACTCAAGAGCCTCGTAAGCAGGGTGAGAAACCAGCAAATGAACACATCACATATGCTAAGGGTCCCTGAAAGGATTTTTTGCATCACTGCTTTCTTGACAACTTTTTATAATAGACTGGCAAAAAGCATCCAAACTTCACTTTCCACTGCAGTTCCTTGCTTCATGTATTTAGTCTGGCTTTACCCCAACTGAGAGGTTTTTTTAAACCTCATAAGAGCTACAATGACACATGTTTATTTAAAATGGGCAGCTAAGCCTCTATGAATGTAGCTGTGGTGAACAGGGCTGGGCTTCCTGATAGATCTTGAATCTATGTTGTTGGTTATGGTTGTGTTAGGTTGTGCTGATAGGGAAAGCTAACGGCACAGATTCATGGAAACTAAAGAAGATATCATAACAGCAGAATCTCTTAAGAATTATTTTACACTCATGTGCACATTCTTTGCTTTTGAAGGAATGCTAGACTGAATCCATGGTATAAACCAAGGATAAAGTCTAATCAGTAGTATAACTGAAGCTTTTGTCTGTGCACACAGCTGGAGGGTACATCTGGAAGAGTAGGAGCAAAGGGTTCTCCTGACCTGAAGATGGCATTGCAGAAAGATCATGTTGAGAAGCTTCAGCATCTTTTAGCTGAGTCTTATGCTGCAGTCATGGATTTGACACGACAACTTAAGGTGTGTGAGCGTAACTGGAATTGTGAGAGGAAGGAGCTTCTAAAACACTTGAGCCAGGCTCGTCTGGACTGGGATAAGCAAAACAAGACCGCCCAGGTAAGTGATGTCCAATGTCCACTAAATTATTTAAGTAATAATAATAGTAATTAACACAATTAAATATATCAAAATAAAAATATACACACTTAAAAAAGACAGTTCTTTAAGGGTTCTTTAGCAAAAAAAATTGTTTTGTGCAGAACCATAAACACAAAGAACGCTTTGCATAATTAAAGGATTCTTTGCATCATTAAAGGTTCTTCAGATTGATGGAGAGTGTGTTTTCTATGGTTCTATATAGAACCTTTTTGAAAAGGGTTCTATATAACACCAAAAAGTTCTATTGTTACAGGCTTGACATCGAAATAAAGGAAGAACCCTTTTGATGTTATATAGAGCCCTCTTCAAAAAAGTTTTCTATAGAACCATCTATAGCACATTCTACATCAATCTGAAGAATGCTTTATTGATGCAAAGAATTCTTTAATCATACAAAGGGTTCTTAAAGAGTTCCTGGTTCTATATAAAACCAATTCTTTACTAAAGATCCGTTGAAGAACCATCATTTATAAGAATGTACATTCTTCCATCAAGTAATGTAGTTCATTAACTGCAGGTTACCAACCAATATAATGGTAAAAAAAATATTGCAAAAAGCAAAGGCTTTTAATTGGAATTTACTGATTTTTCACTTTTTCTGTATAATTAAATGGTTAAGATATAAAAAAAATCGTTCAGACTGGCTTGCTGTGAAAAGCTCCATTCTAGAGAAGTCAGAATTGTTCACAGTAGTGGTGATAGGAACCAGATGTCTGAAGATTTAAATGGCTCTAAAAGCTGTCACAGAAAGCTATTACACAAAATGCTTATGCTGCCTGATGCCAAAGACATTTATAATAGTTGTGAGATATTTTTTCAAATCCAGTCATGGTGGAGAGGTATATGCAGGGTATTGTGAGGCAGATTTTTCCAAATTTACCAATATTATCATCAATATTACAGATAAAAAGAAGACACATCTAGGTTCACTGGGGGTTTTGGATATCAAATAAAATGGCTATATTTATGTTGTAAACTATGTAATCTCTGGTTTCTAGCACCACCACTGTAAAGAAATTGGAGTTGTTTTTTTTTCTGCATTGCATCTTTTCACATCAAACCACTCTGAACGACTTTGTTTACATTTCAATGATTGAATTATGCAGAAATTTTGAAAATTCAACTGATGTGTGCAGTCATGTTTTACTTCGAACTTGTCTCAGAACTTTTAGAATGAGAGCTGTTCCTTTTACAGTTATACATTAAACATCACATAACCAGAAAGATCCACACTGTGAGAAGATTTGTCTTGCCGTATATCTCACATTCTTGTTTTCCCTTCTAAACTTTTAGTCACTTTTGTGACCTTGTCCTTTTTTATCCGCACAGAACTGAATTCAAAACAACTGTCAACATGACTTATTACTGAACTTGTAGTTGTGCTACAAATGCTACTTACATATTTAATACTAGTGATTATTATGTATTAACAGCATAATACTCAGCGATTGGCCATGTTTCAAACTGTTGCTCAGGAAACGAGGGTTAGGCAAGTATGTGTGAGGGTGGAATTTAGGCTAATCCCCTGTTGGGACTGTGGTACAGTAGGGCAAGCGCAGACATCAGCTGCAATCAGGACTTTGGATTCAGAGTGGGCTTAGTCAGAGCACACTGACCAGAGACAGCACTACAGAGACTTAATAGGTAAATCAGAAAGTGACTGAATTATACTAAGGATGGAAAACATGACAGGACATTATAAAGACTGAGACATTCACACGCAAAATCTTTCAAATGCATTATTTGAACATACGGCTGTATGCAGGACTTGTGTTGGGGTTAAATAAGGCCTACGACTTCGGAATTTATCCAAGTAGTTTTCTTGATCTGCAAAATGTTTCTGCTCCCATTCCTGCATACTCTACTGACTGTAATCCCTCGCTCTGACATACTTTACCTAAATAAGACAGGCATTTTCCTCCTAGTACTGTGTCTACACTGCTTAAGACAAACTAATATTGTAGGCTGTCACTATGCCCAAAATATTCAAGTTTTTCTCTGACATTTGAGCAATTTTTGATTTCTCCATTCTAATATAACCATTCTTGAAAAACATTGGTTCTAGATACCTGCTCGTTTGAGAAAAAAAGCATGACAATTTGCTGTTTTTTATTTGCTTTCAGTCCCATGGGTTCAAGACACCACAGAAAGAAGAAGAAACCAAGAGGTCAGTTTTATCTCCATAATTTCAAATTTAACTTAGTATGTTAAATCTTCTTAGCTACATGGGCTTCATTGGCTAAAATTTATATTTGTATCTTTGCACATTTCTGAAATCATGCCTTTTTTAGATGAGAAGCACATGGAACAGGCTTGTACCTAACTCACGTTTAACCGGACAACATTTTTTGTCAGGACTAAACTTGTTTTTGAGCCCAAAACTGCTCCAGATTTAAAATTCTGAATAAAACGCACCTGAATCAGCCCATCAGCCAAAGCACTGAATACAACCTCATGTTTATAATGAAAATGCAGGTTAAATTACCGTGTAGCTACAGTAATAGCTGCATCACTAATAAATAAATAAATAAAAGTTATAAATTAATCACAAATAAACAATCGGCAGTCCAACATTAAATTTAAATTCTGCTTTAACAAATTTATTCATCAAGCAGAGCTCTCAAAAACATCCCAAATGTTTTTTAGTCTGCATTGCACTGCTCTCACATTGTGTTTTATTCTAAAACCCTTTCTGTATATAGAACATATTATGTATAACATAAAAATATATTTTTGGCCAAACATATTAAATGTAAACATCCTTTTGGCAGCACTACAATGGACTGGATAAATTGATTAACATTTAATTTACCTCATATCCATTTTCTCATAGCATTGGCCTTGTGGACCTCAGTGCTAAGGTCTGTTAACAACAGGAGTGCCAGATTAAAAGGGAATGGTAGTAGGAAGAATAAAGTAAGGAGAGAAATGCAGAGAAATATCTGGCAATACAAGGCCGGCTATGAGAACCGGAATGTGATATTTGGACCTGATGAGAACCCAACACATATTTGAAAAATGATGTCTGAAGTTGGCAGCTGGGTCCTATCAGGTTCAGACAAATACTTTAAGCTCTAGAGTCAAATAGCTTTTGATATTTCGTGATATTTCAGTGTTTGCATCAATGACACTGTGCATCCTTGCCTGATTGAGGGATGCTGAATTCATATGAACCTCTACCTTTGCAACTAAGGCACAAAACTGGGCCGGTTACACTGGTCAGGGGACTCAAGATTGGGTCCAGAATCCATGAGTGGGTCTTACAATGAGAATAAACAGAAAATGTTTTCTTCACAGGATAAATCTCAAAGCTGGCCAATCAGCACGGATATCTAACAAGAACTGGTTATACCTCAGTCGAGAGGCAGCTCTTATGGACAGGGAAGACCCATGTAAGACCTGGGACTGTCCCATCATGCCCCCCAGCTTCCCTGGTCTGAACCAAAAGCAGGAAGCAGCTCAGAAAAGCCACACAGCTCCAGAGAGAACTGCGCTGAGGATATACTACAGCCCTCCATCAGCACGCAGAATCCATCTAAGCGCTGTGACAATAGAAGATCAGGATGAGTGCGAGGAGCTTCAGGAGAGGCAAGAACAAACCTGCCACCTGTCTTCAACTCAACAGATCAATGGAGATTCAGCCACACTCTATGAAAGCTGGCTTGGTACACTGCCACTAGAGTGCCACAGTGCAATAGAGCGGGATCCCATTGCTGCCATTCGATCCAGTTCTTCTGGTTTCCAGCCTCATGGAATTTCATCTCCATCTTGCTTGCCTTTCGCTTTGGAGGTTTCAGCCAACATGAGTGATGACATGAAGGAAATGACAGCTAGTGTGCTGCAGTCTTCCCATCCCAGCACTCCAGAAAGGAGGAGAGGAAGGGATTCAGGAAGCCATATAGTGGCAGTGATCAGCACAGGAACCCAAACACATACCCAACCACAGATGAACAGCGTCGGCCTCCAGACTGAGGGCCCTCGGAATGCATATGCAGGAAAACACTGGTCACCTAGGGTCACCTCATTTGTATCTGGCCGTACCCAGCCGATCTCAGCTTCCCTGGAGAGGATGCCTGGGCCTTCAGAGAGGCTCCCTCCTTGTTCTATCTCACCCAAACTCCAGCGAAGACACTCCGCCTCCTCCCCTTTTTCCTCCTCGTCTTCTTCTTCCAACTCTTCCAACTCCTCTTCTTCCTTTACCTCATCTACCCTGTCCTCCTCATCATCTCTGACCGTTTCCTCCAGGCTGGAGACCTCTAAAGAGCGTGGTTTATGGAGCCTTTCTCAATCCCCTTCTGGTTCCTCAGCCTGGGGTCGCTCCAGTACCACAAGACCCAACTCAGCGTCTGGGGGAGGCAGCGATAAGCCCACTGGCCGCAAATCTGCAAGAATCCACAAGTATGGCCTGGTTCAAGAGTTTTTTCGCAATGTGTGTGGCCGCGGAGAGAAACCCAGCCCAGGAGGAGAGAAAGCACCAGTGGTACGTAGGGATCACGTCAGTTCAGCAAGATTAAAGAAAACAGAAGGGCCTCCTTCTCGGATTCCCGCTGTGCCGCTGGTCAGGAGCGACAGTGTAACCAAAATTGTTAATCGCAGGTTTATGAAACCAGGTCAAAAGGATGAGCCAGGGCCTGGCCAGACACAGGGTCAGAGTCAAAACCAGGCCAACAAGACGCCCTTCAGTAAGGACAAAGGCCTTGGTCCTGTTACTCTGGAGGTGAGTAGCATGTAGACATGCATCTGAAAGTGGTAAATGCATTAGTTTTGGAATTATAGAAGTAGAGATGGCACCGATTCAGTACTATCAGTACACTGGATCAGACATCTGAGGGAAAAAAACAAGGAATTTCATCCAATCCCATAACAATTTTAGCCTGAAGCTGCAGGCAGCCAATTTATGTAACTAAACGTGTCTTGGTTGATTGACTACAACTGGGAGAAGTGAAAATTGTGTATTTTTGAACCATTACTTTAAAGAAAAAATATCGGATTGGTATCGGTATTGGCTGATAATCAAGCTTTCAATATCGGTACCAGAAAAGAAAAAGTGCTGTTGTGCCATCTTTAGTTACAATTGTCTCTTACTCCATTCCTGTGTAAATACAGCAGACAGTGTATTTATTACACTTTTCAAAAGAATTTAATTAAAACCTGTGATGTCATGACACATTTGACTGTTTCCTAGAGTCAGAATTGTTTTAAATGCTACAAGAGATTTACTCCCTGGTAACACATAAATATGTTGAAAGAGTATTACGCATAACAAAGAAGAATCATGAGCTATCATTTCGAATATAAGGTGAAAAATAGTGTTTGGTGTCTTATTTAGGTTCCTGATTCCTATCCGAAGCCATACTTTGCAACAAGGTCCCTTTTAAAAGAACTGTACCTGAAAGCAGCATAAATCCTTATATTAGAAACATTTTTTGCAAGAGTTTGATCTTTTCAAGATTGGTTTGGCTTTAACACTGAGTCTTTCCCCGTTGTAGGACGGCTCCTGTGACTGCAGCTCTAGAACTCTGGCCTCCTGCTTTGCTCGAGCATCACGCACCAACGTTCGCCATGCCCACGGCCACTGCAAACTCCGTCCACATGACTGCCCCACAGCAGCTGGTGGGAAAGGAGATCCACTTCCCCAGTGAGAGGCGGAGTCACCCTGCATTCTGATGCCACCACCACCAGACCAGCTGACAGGATTCTTTAGAGAGGTGGAGATGAGCTTAGAGCAGAGACTTTGTAAAGGTTTAAATGGGATAAAAGGCAGATACATGACACGATATGGTTGACTGACAGATTTTTTGCCTTTTTCCACCACTGTACAAATATTTCTCCCACACAGTATAATATGAAGGCTGTTGTTGGATTTCTTTACTTGACAGATATAACTTTAACTTTAGTGGATTAAGTTGATACATTTTTAAAATAATATTTGGAGTCCAATGTATGCCCAGTTTATGTATGTTTTTATACTGTTTATATAATTTAATATAGACTATTAGATGCCTTAATGGTTAAATTGTCTTAAATGAATATGATAGAATGTAAATAAATATCCTATATCACACTGGTTTGTTTTTGTCTCCTTAAAAGCCATCGCTGGGGGTGATTAGTGATCGGGGCCTGTATTTACAAAGCAGTTTTGGAGTAGGAGTGCTGATCTGGAATCAGTCACTGTTACAAAAACTGTTATTAACGGAGAGGAATCTGATCTGGGATCAGAGCTGTAACTCAGTGCCCTGTATCCAGATTTATATATAGTTTAAAGAAATGTGCCTGATAAATTTAACACTAGGTTATCTATTGAATTAACTGTGTAGTCATACCATCTATTGACTGGTCACTGGTCATCCATTTCTATATGGCTGTGTACAGCCAATCACGCCCTCTACTGACCATTTAACCATGCAACAGGACGTATGTGAATGAACTGACTGTGATCTACCAACATGTTAGTATTATGAGCTAACAATGTTTATTTTTGAAATGAAATAAAAGTAATGATACATCAGATCAATAAAGCAAACCACTCTATAACTTTGCATACGTTTGCATTTGATACGAGGTCCCCGTCTCAGACAAAAAAGCCTGTGTTTCACCTGAGAATGTGTCGTGAGGAAAATTCAGTCTTCAGGGTTTGTCAAACACTAGAGGGCGCTCCCAAGCGAGTCCAACATTAATGGATTATCATACAGTCTGTGGTTAATATGGAGCATTTGCGCAAAATCATAGTTTATAAATGATCAAACATTTTGAATGTAGAAGAACGCGTTCATTTTCTAAAACACAGAACAGCATAAAATATTTTAACATCGCTGCTATATTTTAGGCATATTTGAACTCCGGTTACAGGAGTTTCGGTTCATCACAGGGGCAAACCTCTTCACTCATGAGCTGATTAGCTCAACAACCACTCAGCACTCCATAGCAGTAATGTCAACCACTCAGCACTCAGCAGCAGTAATGCCAACCAATCAGCTCTCAGTAGCAGTAATGCTAGCACCCTACTGCCAAAAACCCGTTTGCTGTGAAAAAAGGGAAACATGCAGGTAGGTTTTCTTTGCTTTTTTAGTCAAATACTTCCTTCTACATTCTAAAATTAAATGAAGGTCCTGGTTAAGTGGTCAGAAACCTCCTTAACTTGTCGTTTTAGCCGTTTAGCTCCATTCACCACCCTTTATTAAGGACTTGCTCGCGGGCGCCCTCTGGCGTTTAACAGCCATGGTTTTTAAGTGATGGAGAAATGGTATGTGGACAGGTTCCCCTTAAACTGGCTCTGATTTCTCCCGTTTGAGGACGAAATTTTATCAATCTAAAGTTACACTCTGGCCTCACACCATTTAAGGTGGAAAAGAAAATTCGAACAAGAATCAGCCTTCGGCCCTGTTTAAAAAATGATTCTTTATTCTTTTCGTTAACACAGTTTGTTGTATATGCAACTAATTTAATATAAATAACTGCTCAGCCTAAAAAATGCCTTTGACTTTTTTGCGATGTACATTTACATAGACTAAAAGTCACCAAAACGTCCCAAACAATTTTTAAAAGTTTAAATGTTTAGATACATTTTGAAAATTTAAGATATACAAAGAAAGACTATAAGAAAAACATATATAAAATATAGATATTATTAAAAATGATAACGAAAGTCGGAAAGTGTAGATGTTAGGAGTGCAGAGCTGCTCCCAGGCCTCAGTTCACCGGCAGATGAGGCGGAAATGCGTAGAGCGCATGCGCAGTTTCGAGTTTCTGTAGTTTCGAGTTTCTCTATCTCCTGTTTATTTTCGATTTTATATCAATAATCGCTCATCTGAGTGAAATTAGGACAGAAGGCAGGAAACATGTAACTAATGAAGCCATATCTCCAAGCTTTAATTGAACATTGAGTGCATTAGTTTAGCTAGCGAGCTTATTTCAGTGTTTACAGTTAGTTTTGGCAGCGACATCAAAACAAACCCGGAGCGACAGTCGAGACGGCCGCACATCTCGCCCGTGTTTCTACGGTATCGTTACAGTCATGGCGTGCACGCTGGAGAAGGTGCTGTCGGACGCTCGGACTTTGCTGGAGAGGCTGAAAGAGCACGACACGGCGGCGGAGAGTCTGATCGAGCAGTCGAGCGCCCTGAGCCAGAGGGTCCACAGCATGAAGGAGGTGGGAAACGCTCTGCCTGACAAGGTAGGCCAGCAGCGGCTCCACCATACAGATCGTACATGCTGTATTTTTATCTAACGATGTGACTTTCATTCATCCACTTCGACTGTGTCCCTGTGGTGACAGACTGACATATGTTACTCACAGAATCCTGTATTTACTCTCAGCCACAAGGACTCTTATTCAACGTTAATGGTCCATATCGTGTATTTTTAGTTTCTCCTACTTGTGACGTTTGAATGATTGTATGTGAAAAACCTAATTCACTTTACATGACCAACTTCCATTCTTTATCTATAGTAAACAGGCAGTTTTAGCTGGGCTAAGACTGCTGTGTGTTGGTATGTTGGCTGGTATGTTTTGAATGCAGTTCAGACTGAAACACTCATTGTAACTTCAACATGAATGGGCGGGGCTAAACTGTAAGGTCATAGGTGGGTGTATGTCAGTGTGTTGGTTTTTGTGACATCACTAAAACAGGTAATGTTTCCATATATGGAGCTCGTCCCTCGAGCAGTCCAAGCTCAAAACATTTCTTATAACTTAAACATGAATACACTGGTTTTCATTATGTCACAAAAACAGTGAGTTCAACATTGAGGCTGTTTTTGGACTTTACTGTCTATGTAGACTGCATGGGCTGGAGTCTGAAAGGCATGTTTTACCAATCACTAATCAACATCTCACTCCAGCACTTTTTCTGTCTCCCAGCTCTAGCTGTTAATAGATTATGCAACAACATGGATACACCAGAATGTATTGTTAAAACCCTACTTCAAATACTACATAAAACTTTATTTTAGAAAGGGAGGAATATGGGTGTTTTAAAAGTGAAATGTGTGTCAGAAGGCATATGATAGATTGTAAATAAATCATCACGCTTTTGTCTCTTGAAAATCCATCATGAGGAGTGATCAGTAAAAATGTTGATTAGAAATGTTCCTTACAACATTTTTTCACTGTTTCTTTCATTCACCCAGTACGTGGAGGAAAGTGCAGGATACCAGGAGCTCTCCAAATATAAACCCCACGTTCTGCTGTCCCAGGAGAACACCCAAATCAAGGAACTTCAGCAGGAGAACAGAGGCACGCTACTTCATTTACTAATTTATTATAATGTGCACGCCTGGTGAAAATGGATTTGATATAAATACTTCTTGGATGCACAACATTTCGAATGATTGCTCAGTGCTGTTTTCCCTCTGTTCCACAGAGCTTTGGCTTTCTTTGGAAGAGCACCAGTACGCTCTGGAGTTGATCATGGGTCGATACCGCAAACAAATGCTTCAGCTAATGATGGGAAAGAAGGAGCTGGACACCAAGCCTGTGCTCAGCCTTCACGAGGACCATGCCAAAGTGTGTACCATGTCTTCTCTGCCGTAATGAATGTTTTATATGAGTAGATTTTACACCTTTGTGGTTTATATTGCTAGCACATGCTCACAAAGCATTGTCATTGGCCTAGGAGGTGCAGAGCCAGTTGGAGCGAATATGCGAGATGGGTCAGGTGATGCGGAGAGCAGTACAAGTGGATGACCAGCACTACTGCTCTGTGAAAGAGAGACTGGCTCAACTGGAGGTAACGTATTAGTCCATGGCTTTGTTAAAAGGGATTTACACTGATTTTTTAAAAATGTTTGCATAATTCAATCAGTGACATGTAAACAAAGTCATTTAGCGTGTTTTGATTTATTTTTTGCATTAGAGAAATTTCTTGACTTCAGTGGTGGTAAAAGCAACCAGAGGTCACAATGTCTACAAAGCAAATATAGACATTTTGTTTACTATTCAAAATGACCAGTGAACATGTGAACATACTTGTATCTTCTGAGCTTTTAAATGCAATAATAATCTCAAAACGATCATAAAACAACATCTGGGGCATCAGGCAGCATATCTGTAATTATTTTCAGCCGCATTAAATGCCTCAGATGTTCCCCTCACCATATAAATTGTCATTGTCCAAAGAAAGCTCAGTATCTCCATTTTTCTCGATTCTTGTTTTTACATAATTTCAACACACCAGCTGTCCTTTACACTGTGTGAAAATTTCATGGACCAATAGAAATGCACTAAAATCACTTGGAATAAATCGCTTTACACTGACTTACTTTAAAAGATAAGAGTGTTTTTGCCTTCTCCTGTAAAGTTACTATTTCGGAGGTACTTGTTTTTCTTTGGACAGATTTATATGTACACGTACACACACAGACACACACACACACTTGCTCACTATATTTTTATATATTAATGTTATGCCAGTTACTGTGAGGTTCTTGTTTGTCATCATGAAATTTACTTAACTTTTCTTATTAATTCAGATTGAAAACAGGGAGCTGCGTGATCTCTTGGCCATCAGTAAGAACACCCTGAAACCACACAGAGAAGAGGTCAGCCAACCCAACACAGAGCCTAAGCCCAAAGTTGCTGACAAGGATTGATGACATCCAAAGACACAAAGAGTTGTCTTGTGGCCGCAGTTTCTATTGTACCATCTCACTCTCAGGACACCTGTTGGCTCATATCTGTATCATGGTTTATTCGAATCGCTGAACCATCCCAGTGTATCCTGACCTCCTGCTGCCCACTGCTGCACTTTCTGTGATGGATTAACAGAGGCAGTTTTCTTCTGTTTTTCTCAGGAAATACACACAGCAGCCCCTCATCAGTAGACAGTGCTCTGCAAATTTAAATATACTTCTGTTTCTGCAGCTGTCTTTTTTATTTTATTTATAAAAATATTCACTCTGGAAAATCCTCAGATTTTGCTGTATTAACATAATTTTTCATGCAAAAACAGTCATGCTGAGTAAAATAATGGTGGTTAGTTTCCTGTTAGTGATTTCTTTAAAAAGCCTTTAATCTGAGTGTTCAGGCTGATCAGAAACACCCATAACATGCCCAAGGAGGCTCCTCTGTTGAAATCAACAAGAAACATTTGAGGAAAATTATTCTATACATTATTATGACTGTAAGGACTAACAGTGGAGTGGCTGCTAGTAATGTTAATACTTGAAGTACGCCTGATACTGCTCTCTATAATATGCTGTCAGTAAATGAGCCAGTATTTAAAGTCTAATCTAAAGCTCACTTTTTGAGCAGCGTGTCATCGTGTCATCATTTTTTAACTGACTAAAATCTTTCTCGATTTTTCCCAGTTTCTCCACATTTTTAAATGGTCAAAAATGCAAAGTATCTTTCAGTTTATAAAAATATAAACTAACTACAGTGAGATTTTCTTTAGCCTAACTGTGTGTGTTCTGCAAATATTTGTTAATTAAGATTTTGTTTGTGTGATTTTAATACAGCAAATCCTGAATCATTTTTGGGTTGAATATTTTTTGCAAGATATTAATTCTATGATGTGTTTAATATGATCATTTAATATGATTTTTAAAATAAATAAATATTTAAAATGTAGCCTCGACTTTGACTGGCCTATGCTAGTTTTTAATTAATAAAATTAACTTCTTAAGTGTTTTGGTATTTTCCTCATAAATTCCGTTCTAGTCTGTGTCTCAGAACTGGCTACAACAGCTTGGCCTGTGTTTCAGTATGTGAATACAGCACAAGAGTAAAACCTGAGCTTGAGGTAAGGTACATGGTGCTGGTTTTGCAGACTTTAAGACAGAGAGTACCAACTGACAGTGTAATTTAGTTCATGACTATGCTTAATATGTCATACTTGTAGTGTCATGCAGGTGCTTCTAATATTAGATGGTCGTGTTATCACCTCAGGAAATTATCACAGTCATTATTTTTTTATCAATATGTCAAATGTAAGAGAATACAGAAATGTTAAAAGTACTTAAATGTTGACTTAATAAAACATTACAATGACCAGTCTGAGTTTTGTTAAGTTGTTTGAAGCGTCTCAGTTAATGCAGGGAGAAAACAAACTTCAGGAGCCTCACTGTCTCTCCACATTCATACAAGTATTACACATACACAGCGGTGGGTGATGAGTTTGGAATCACTTAAAAGAAGTTTTATTATTTTATGTACAATAATAAATTTATACAGTTTGGTTTTAAATCTTATAACCTAGACACAAAACGAGTACTAGATGTTTTGAATTATATACTATATTAAAGTAAATGATATACTGTAATTAGCTATTTGCAATTTTTTTGTCAGGTTATCTTCAGATTATATTTCAAATACAAGGTTTTCTGCATGTTCATTTATTATACACTCTTGGTGTTATACAGCATTTTTGGTTATTTTGGAATAATCTACAGCCCTGATTGTTTTTTATTTTTTTCTGAATTTTGAGTCTGTAGCTACTTAATTTGTAAGCCTCCTATTAATCCTATTAATTATTTGAAAGCTGTGAAGTTGCACAGGACTGGCACACTGAATTCATTTTATACAACCAAATTGGTTTTACTATTGACAACACTGATTTCCAACCACAAAATGTAATTCCAACATTCATTAATATACTTGCAAATTCCTTTTTGGGGTTTATCTTCATCTTACATTGTTAGTGTTGCTCACACCTTTGACTTTTGCTGACTACCTTTTGGACTTGATAATTTTGTACTACTTAAGCTGCTTTTTCAAAAGGTACTTTTACTTATATTTGAATCATTATTTCACTGAAGTAATACCACTTTCACCTTGGTTGTTTACGCCCATCTACCCACCTTTATCTCTCATGACTAGCACGCCCGTCCAGCAGGTGGCGCTAATGCTCCTGCTGTGTGGGTGACCTCCCTCATACATTCGGGAAAAATGACAGCTTAGCCGCCTTATACAAAGTCAACCCGATTCAACTCGCTAACATCAACCGTATCGACATGTCTGAGAAAGAAGTGGGTCAGAAGTGGGACCGCTGCCTGGCGGACTGCGCTATCAAAGTCGGTAAGATGGGCTGAGAGAAAACTGGGAGAGACGGAAGAACCGAAACGAACGTTATTCCTTTAAAACAGGCTCAACGTTACAACAGCTAGCTTAACTACAAGGTTAGGTTAATGAGCCAGGCTAAAGCTAACTTAGCGTTCATCTTGATGCAGCCAGCGTTAAAACCGAAATGACCAAACTCGATTCGGTTTTATTTATATGGCGCTTTTTAAACATACTTTGTCTCAAAGAAGCTTTACAGAAATCCGGGTCCAGGGCCCGTTTTTTACGGCGCACCTCAAGAGTAACTTAGCAATGCTGATCTAGAATCGGCCAGTGTCACAAACTAATGTCCTAAATATGCAGGAATCTGATCTGGGATCAGTCCTGTGACTCAGGACTGCTTTCTAAACACCAACCCGGAGCTCTAATGAGCAAACCAAGGCCTGACTCATATATAAACTGACCATGCTCCACCGAATCCGAGCCAGAAACTGTAACCCATTAAAGGGGAACTCCACCGATTTTTCAAAAAAAAATGTGCACAGTTTAATGCTTAAGACGTAAACAAAGCCACTCGGAGAGGCTTGGTGTGAAATGCTCTGTTCTCGAGAAACTTGGAGTCAGAATTGTTTACAGTGGTGGTGATAGGAACCAGACGTCCACCTCTAAAAGCTCCCTCACAGAGTTAAAGTTGTTAACGTTACATAAAATGGTTATGAATGTGCTGTCTGATGTTTGACACATTGTTTTATAATATTTTTGGCTTAAAATAAATTATAATCCATTCATGTCAGAGCGTTATATGCAGGGCGTTGTAAGGCAAAATAGTGCCCAAAGACAACGTACTATTTTCAGATGACTGTTTTACCATCATCAGATTACACACACAAACTCAGAGGACTCGTGTTGGTGAACTGTTGGTTTTGGATAGTAAATAAAATGGCTGTATGTGTGATGTAGACATTGTGCCCCCTGGTTCCCATCACCACCACTGAGTCTGTCTCTCTACAGTGAACCATTTCACGTCAAACCACTCTGAATGACTCTGTTTGCATCTCAAGGACTGCATTATTCAGAAATTGAAGTGAAAAATTGGTGTAATTTCCCTTTAATTTTTGAAGTTATCCGTGTGATCAAGCTTGTTGCTGAAAAGTAAGTTTTTATCACCTGTTATATTAAATTATTAAAACCCCAAAAATCAAATGTGTGCTGAAGTGAGCGAATCAGATGTTCTTTCAAGGTATAAAAGGACTACAAAATTTCATCACCGTCACATCACATTCAGAACACGTCCTGTGGCGTTCTTCCTTATACTAATTTGACTTGGTGGACATTAATGGGTTAATATCAAAGGCTGTGGTCTGAGCTGGGCAGATACAGAAGCTTCTCTGTTGGAAAACTCTTTGGTACATTGCACATCTAATCCGGACATAAATCCTCTCTGTGGGAAGTGAGTCACTAACTCATAGCGGAGGTATCTTACAGCACTACTGTGTCTGTGACTGGTCTGTTTCTTATGATGCATGTCTAAAACCAGTTGTCTTTTTCCTGTAGGTGCTGGTCTTGGTTTAGGTATCGTCTTCTCGGTTGTATTCTTTAAACGTGAGTATTCTCAGTTATGTTGCTGTTGTGAATTAGACTGCATTAGTTCTTCTTATTTATAATGAAAACTTACTGTATTTGTACTGTACATACAGGCAGGACATTGCCAATTGCGTTTGGCACAGGAGCAGGGCTGGGCATGGCTTACTCAAACTGCCAGAATGACCTAAGATCACCGTATCTTGTACACAGTAACACCACTAAGGTCAGTAAATTTAAGGCAGGTTATATAATTTAAACAGTTATCAAATATTGCAATACTTGCATCAGTTTGTTAGCACGATATCAGGAATGTATCAGATGAGGCTCATTGATTGATTCCTTCTATTTTTTATTTGTTCAAACAATGAACAGACGATTTTTATTCTCTTTTAGGAGCAGTAGCGCCGTCCCATGAAGGATTCTGTCTCCGTCTTTTGTTGCCCATGAGAGCCGACAGACTAATGTCACTCTGTGGACTTGTCCTCACCCTCCATCACTTCTGTGTGCCTGAACCAGACATTCTGTCTTTATTTAATCACATTGTTTAAAAAAAAAACAAAAAAAAACCTTGTTGGCAAATGTAGATTTGAGAATGATATGCAATGGAACAAATGCAGTTATTAAATGCTATTTTATGACATCAGCAAATGATCTTGGCGTTCTCTTCTTTTAGAATTATTTTAAGCTTATTTCATGCAGGTTTCATGAAAACAAAAATGTAATCACAAAAGTGGATTTAATCATTAACACTCCTGGCAGTAAACAGCACAACACAGCAGTGTTAAGTCAATGCATTTGGTCATTGTCACAAACTGTTCAAATGATACCGAACCTGCTGCATGTAATGAGCAATTTTTGGCAGTGTGACAATTCGTGAGTTGCATCTGGTCTCTACAGTGAAGTGCAAGCATATGAAGCACCTCTTCATTATAACAGGCTGATGTTTTTACCAGTAATTGCGCTTTTAACCAAAAGTAAAAACAGGACAGATTTGTGATTAAACCAAACTGAAATTATTTATAGATTGAGATTTTGAGTTTCGTTGGAGAAAACACTGTATGGCCAACAAATCATTGTGTTTCTTAAAGCTTTGCCTTCAAATGCCTGAAGAGTTTTTTGGTTCTATATTTTTTTTTAACCTTTAATAAGTTCATTCTTTTATTAATTCCTAGATACAAGTATTTCAGATTTTTGTTGTAGTCATATGTATGTATGTATGTGTGTGTGTGTGTGTGTGTGTGTGTGTGTGTGTATATGTATATATATATATATATATATATATATATATATATATATATATATATATATATACACACAGCTATATCATGTAATACTGCTTAATGTTTCCTGGTCTGCTAATTCATTTTTCTGAAACTTATGTTAAAACCCAGCTATTAAAAATAAATAAAAATTAGGGGTGGACAGTGGCATTGGATTCACATGAATATCTGCAGATAATGGTTTAAAGAGGCACTCAGGCTAAAATGGAAAAATTTAACCCTCACTAAGTCTGTTATAAACATGCCTGCTTGCCTCTTACAGCAGTGCAGCAGTCATCTTTAAAGTGAGGTTTCCCAGTTTAAAAGACTTTCACTAAATCCTCTTCTAATGTATCTTGAAGGAGGAAGTATATTTTGACAGGCTACCATTGCTTTGAGGTGGATTTTGCAGGGTCGGCTGTTTGAAATGGTGTTACTAATTCTTCAACTGAACTGTTTCTGTAGCAATATGAAAAATTTTATAAAGTGTTATAGCGCTAACAGATATGTTTAATAGCTTGTACATCAGTGGCATGCAGACAGGCTTTGTTGAGTGCTGTAGGATTTCCTAAGAGTAGTATGATGTATTTGTATAATGCATGCTGGGTATTGTAGTAAGAGAACAATGATGGACAAAAACACAAGATTATAAATTCTGTCAAACTGATGAAGCTGAGGGGTTCAATGCTGTGCTACAGGATATGCCTAACGTTAAATTTTAGGCCAGGAATTCCTGCTATTGAACAGATGTTTAGATTAGACCAATACTTCAAACCGTTATTTGATGATGTACTTATTGTAACTGTGGAAGAGCAGATCATTTAGATGATGCTCAGCTATTATACTAAAATATCTGTGTGCTATTCATTTTATTTATTATTTCTCCACAATGATAATAAAGGTGCATCTACTCCCATGTTGTACATTTTATGTGTTTATATATTGGCACTGGCAGATATGTACATGAAAAATATCAGATATCTGCATTGTCCCGCAGTTTCCATATCAGTGCTTCCCTATGAATAAAAACTAGTTAATAAGTAGTTAGTCTTTTTGGGCAAAAGGTGGAAAAATTATATAATTTGATGTGACTACACACACAAATGTATTTTTCTGAAGTGAGCTAATTATTGTCACAAAAAAAGAAAGAAGTAT